TAGGTAGGTAGGTAGGTAGGTAGGTAGGTAGGTAGGTAGGTAGGTAGTAGTAGTAGAAGCAGCAGCAGCAGCGTTGGTAGTGGTAGTGGTGGTGGTGGTGTTGGTGGTGTTTGTGGTGGTACGTGTCAGTGGTGGCACGATTACAGTAGTTCCAAGGTCGCAGCGTGTGACAACTCTGTTGGGTGGCTGCGTTTTGTTCCTACCATCAACATACAAACATTCGTACATCTATGTTCCTCAATGTACGACTCCCCCAAGCATTTCCGGACCCAGCAGCAGCTTCAAGGTGCTGCAGGGCATCATTTATCCGTTGACCTGGCATTGCTCTCCGGGCTCTCCGGTCAGTCCGCTCTTGGAGAGGGGATGCTTCCTATAGTAGTTGGCTGGACCAGCAGCAGTTTCACAAGCACATGAGTCAATGAGCTGTTGAAGTCACTCAGAACGGATTCGTCACAAGAATGGCAAGACTGGTGCAGGGGTGAAAAGAAGGCGATAGACCAATTTCCGGACACTGGACAATAGCTTCTGGCAGCCAAAATGATTGTATATGATTGTATCAAGTCAAAGATTAATTTTAAAAACACACTAAAAAACATCAAACACCACCTCAATTTTCCGATAACCAAATATCATGCTATACCTTGCTGGGAGGTAGACCCTTGCACCAACCCAAGAAACACAACAATGGAACTGTAACCACTGCGTAGATGAACTCACGTCCAAATGTCCTCCAATTCAGTGATAAATCCCAGAAAACATACACTAAACATTCCTAAACACTCTCAAACTTTCCAGTGTCGTTTTTGGTGCCGTGCCCCACGTCCACCCCAAACCCCAGGCCCCTGGTGCCTGCATTTTGAATGGTCTGGCGAGTGGCATCCTGAGGTCGCATGCGCATTCGGCTGCCCACGAATATCAAACCCGACCTAGCGGCGCCTAGCGGTGTCACCACCTGCCACTTAAAGTCTGCAAAAGGCCAGGAGACCTGCGGAAGGTGGCGCTGTAAAAAATATGAACATGGAACCAACTTCCACATTGAACTCCTGAACTTTGCATCAGTAGTTGCCAGCAAACCTGAAACCTCTTCAAACTAATGCTGGTCATACGAGGGGTTGTTGGTCGTCGGTCGCATTTTTGAGGGAAAACGACCCTGTTCAAGTCGCGTATGTGCCACGTCTTGGAGGCCAAAGGCTGCTAACATGTGCTCATTAGCATGGTTTGCAAAAGGAAGCCCTATTATGCAATCATAGTGGTCCCCAGCAATTGGACGTCCACCCTACAAGCTAGACCAAAACACAAATCATAAATTTTACTGAAGCAGCATACTCAAAAAATGGAGAGGTCTTTGATGGTCTTTGGTTTTAGGGGAGCACCGGTGGGCCTCCCGCACTCACTGCAAGGAGGACAACATGAGTAAATTGAGCAAATCAGCATAAAGCCAGTCCAGTAATGCATCTACAAGAAACAGTCCGGTAAAGCTTTGACAACACTTGGCATATCTTGATGATGCTGTGCTGGCGGACCATCCTCCACCAACTGAGATACTCCGAATACACCATCATCAAATTGGGCTCCAGCTGGAATTCACTCCGAGCTCGTCGAGCCTACCATAAAAAACGGATCATTTGGGGGCGAGAATGTGCTTTTCGCTACTTCTCCACACCCCCCCCCTCAGGGGAAAAAGAGACGTCACGTGTGGCACCTTTGGTTTTGTGGCACTACATCTGATGCTAAATAAATGGCATGGTCTAAGATCCCCGTCACCAGCGCACGAGATCCCTCCTGCACGTATTCTTCTGGAAAGATTTGCCGGAGGAACTCGGCATGATCGATCTGCCCATTCCTCAGGATTTCTGCGTCCAAGCTGCGCTTTCGTGACTGTCAGCATGATTTCTGTGACAAACTAATTAAGGGAATGGTAAAAGCACAAGAGCTCGAAAGACTCTACCAACAAAAAACAAATCTATATAAGATTGGCATAGAGTCTTGACAAATCGAGCCAACTTGAGCGAAGCAAACGGGGAAACGTTGCAAAAGCATGGCACCTCTGGAAAACTCTGAAGACGAGACGCGCGGGTTACATGAGGACTGACAACTTCCCCAATTTTTTCACGCCCCCATATACCGTTGTAATGAGGGGAAGCTGTTGTTATACCGTTTTGATTATACCGTTGTAATCATCCAATGCCCCCATATACTCATCCAATGTTTGATTATACCGTTGTAATCCTGAAATGAGGTTCATCGAGAAGCTCGGCTCCTAGGTCCTAGTCGGTGAGTGCACCCCCACGCCATCTCAATGCTCATGGACCCGAACCTATGGAGAAGTCGGACCCGGATGTGGAGGGTCTGGGGTCTCAAATCCCTAGGTTTTGAGGGATCAAGGGCTGTTTGGAGCGGCACCCCTCAAGTCGGATCCCAATGGTGTAACAACCACCCTCTGACCGATCGTGCAGCGGCTTTTCACTGACTCCCTCAGTCTCCCTTGTGACTGAACTTTCCACCTGTTGGGGTTTGAGCTGGGATTCAGGTTATCCACCTGGATCGGACGCTTGGAAGGGCTCGAGGCCCCCAAGGACGATTGGAATGGAGTCCAAACCACCAATTCACCATGTCAAATCCCTCATCCGAACAGGAAGTGGCAAGGATGGGATGGGTGACAATATTGGAAAAACACATTGACAACATCATACAAATTCATACAATAACAACTATTCCTGGATATTCATGGATATATCCCATTGCCAGTAGCAGTGGATGATGATGGTATATGATGGTTAGGTTGCAGGCCTTTCTCTAAAAATAGTGATACTGTCTTGTTTACCGACTGTTAACAGCAAATGGGACGTATTCCCCCGGCTGAACGCGCTGTCTCTCCTCCCCAGAGGCTGATCGGTGTCGAAGAGGATGAAAAGATCGACCGCCTGCGATGTGTCGATCCCGCGGTGCATCCAAAGCGGCCAAATGGCCAAGGACGACCCGACTCGGATCGTTTCCAAGGGTGGGTAGCTACTGGGATCTACAATCCCTGAAATGATCATGGAAGTGGATAGAACATGGCCCCCCCAAAAGGATGATCATTTTCGAATGCCATCCACGAAACCATGATGATTCAGGGAGTGAGTGTACTGACATATCTTGAGTATCCCTTCTAATCATTGAGCAACCAACCATAAAAAAGGCAATCTATGATCCAAACTGGCACATCCTTCCTCCAAATCTACTGGGCCAGTGGCAAGGGATCTGCTGGGATGAGCTGAGACTTTCTCAGGCCCAAATTCCAGTCATACCGTGAGGAGATCTTTGTGGTTTAGCTCTGGATGCATGTCAACCTGGCTATGCCTGGTGCAAACGCTTCTTGCTTGGGAGTCACACGACAAGACCTCGCCAGCCCAACACCCACGAAAAGCACGAGAAGCCTTGACTTCCAACCTAATAGTGATGGCCTTAGTAGCGATGGCCTCCAACCTAATAGCCGACACAAATCTGAGTTCCGGCGCCCACAGTAGAATGTCACTTACCTCTATGATTCTGAGTTGATCCTCATTTCCTCATCCACTACGTTCCCACCGAGAAACATGCTCCAAAGAGATGCCAACCCGCATCCTGGGCACGAGAAACAGGACTCAAACCGCCACATCGAACGCCAGAGCGGCTCAGGATACACAAAGTTTGGCACGTGTTGGCCCTTGGTCTGTGAACAGGCGTACATATAGAAACAATCAAACAAACGACCCCCAAACGAGTAACATCTCAAGGGTCTCTGGAAGTTGCAACACACGTATATAATCGTATATATATATATATATTAATATATATAACACACACACACATATATATATATAATATTATATGGTAGGTCAACACATGTCAACACACACCCACACGCCCACACACATTTCAGTGTTTCATTCCCCACCCCCAAAAACCGCCCCAACCGCGACACCCAGCAAGCCCCACAACACCCACCCCGCCCAAAAAATTGAACTCTATAAGCTAATAGCACCCCCCACCGCTCCAAACGCGACGCAAACCAAAAACGCAACCGCTCCAAGCGTCTGCTGAATGAGCTCGAGGAATTCCGACAGCGTCAAGAAGCCGTCTTCGTCCACGTCCACCTCCGCCGCGCCACGGTGGGGACGTCTCCCCGGTGAGTGCGGACGGGGGCGACAGAGTGACTGGCGCTCAAAGGTGGGGAGTCCAAAGGTGTGAAACACAAGCCGTGAAGCTGGGGAAGGTTCTAAACCAAAGGTTGGAGAAGACGGTCACATCCCAGGGGGCTCTCCATATCCCAGATCGATTTCTTCAAAGCTTTCATGGATAGGGCCCTATGATAGGGCAATCGTCACGCAAATGCCAACAGCCTTTCTGGTTCAGTGATCTTCCGTGAGAGGCAGCGCCTGATGTCAAAACCTCCTCAAAAAGCCAAATGGGCTTGACTTCATCATGCACCAGCACCCTCCAACAGGTCACCAATTGAGACCTGTCAGGGTCCATCAAGCCTCGGACGAGGAGACCTGTAGTCGGGTGCTCGTATCCACCTCAACACCCCCAAACTCAACACCTCATGTCAACCAACGAAGAAATCTTGTCAACCCCAACTCACCCGTCCTCGACTCCAAATAATCTGTCATGGCTTGAGTCCTTCGTTTTCGGACAGAAAGATATGAACATTGTATCATATTGTATCCCTCAAGTTCTACTCACCGACCAAATATGGATGGCTTCTCACATGGATGTCCCAAAATTCATGTTTTCCGATCCTCGCCACTCCACCGAGTTTGGGCGGGCCCCACGTTGGTGCGCCGGCCAAGGGACATATTGAATCAAAACCTGCAAGTCTCTGGCGGTGTAGCCCCACTTGAGCAAGCACTTCCTGAACATAAACACTCATTGCAGCAAACAGGCGAAGCAGGAGTGAACTCTGTATGGATTGATGTCTGAGAAGGAGCCTTTGAAGAAGGAGGCATTCCACTCCGTCTGAGAAACTAAGGTCCAATTCCAGGTCATCATGTAGATTTGCGGGAAAGCGGCTCGAAGCCAAACTCACGGTATTGTCGACTCTCAATGCTGGCGATAGAACTGCTTACGGAAAAAGAAAACACTTTTTTGTCATAACATATGCACCACAACCATGCATACATAAACATATATATATATATCAAAGGCTGTAGCAAAAGCAAGTGGACAGCCCTGTTTCGTGAAGGTCATCAATTGCATCGCGGGAGGTTATGTCTTCTTTTTCCAAAGCCCCCAGGACCGGCCCATGTCTTCAGTTTGCATCGTGCCATCGTGCGGATGCAATGTCAAACGGTCAAACCATTGCGTAATTCAAACCATTGCGTAATGTAGATTCCAGATTCACAACCCCCCACAAACATGGATTGCAAAAACCTCTTCATTTGAAGGGGTCGATTAGTATAATGGGACGGAATACTAATAAGTCTTATCACCCAGTTTTTTTTTGAATTCTTGGTTTGCCTACTCTTGTGCTATTGTTGTCCTTTAAAATCCTTGCTTAACTAGAACGACTGCCTACCGCTGCTGCTGCTGCTGCTACTGCTACTGCTACTGCTACTGCTACTACTACTACTACGACTACTACTGCTACTACTACTACTAGTAGTTTTGCTTGATTCACGGAACTGTGACCTGAAGACCTCTTTTAAAGCCCCTCATAAAAACTCATCGATTTCATTGCCCCAAACAATTTTTCAAGGGGGTAGTGCACAAGCCCCGGGTAAGTGAATGATACGAATTGTTTAGAAAGTGGGAGTAAGTAAACTTGGAGCCCTAGGAAAAATATCTAAAATGACGACTTTTAAACTGCTCTGCCATTGCTGCCCTTTAAGACGACGACGACTGCTAGTCCTGCCATGTCCTGCCCACAGCAAGTTTTCAGTTGAGGCACCTGACCCGTGTTTTCAGCAGCACCTGGTGTCGCGACTGCCAACAGGCGGTGAATTCGTTGCCGATGATGCCCACGGGCAAGGCCAAGAAGAGGACCGAGACAAAGGTGAGGATCGAAGCAGCGATGTAGCCTCAGCGTAGCGCGATGCAGTCCAGACTGAGCCATCTAAACTGTTGACACAACTGGTGGGACTGGAAGATATGCCGTCCCACTGATCCCTTTTCAACCACCACAATACAGGCAACCCTGCCATGGAGTATCTGGGTAAACTGTTGAAGATTAACCAGAGCACGAACGATCCTCGGCTCGTCACATCATAGTCGCTGGTTGGATTTAGATATGGCATGTATGAGTCAAAACCTGGAACCCTTGTCCACCATGGGTCCGCTAGATCCTTCCGGGTCGGTCTTCCGGGTCGGTATCCTGCTGCCATGACCCACAGAAAAATGGGGTGTACGGAACATGCGAAGCCCAAAAGCCTCGCAGGGCGGACGTCACTGTGGGAGGGATTTCAAACATTTTTACATCCAGGTGGCGCGAAGGACGTGTTGGGCAACAAGTCAAGTAAGGATAAAGAACACCGGCGACAGCAAAAGCATCAACACATTGCTAAAGGACTGCTTGGCGAAATGCTAGTTGTATAGTAATCAGCTGTAGCCCTCTGGCAAATTGCGATCATTCCCCACTTCGCCACTTCCTCTTGTGCAAGGCTCCCAACAGCGAGGTGGGGTAATAGTCGCCGTAACCCACCGTGGTCATGGTGACGATCGCCAACCACAGGGAGTGATGCATTGTTGGAATGTTGCCTACACACATCACCAGAGATGCCGATGGCTCGGGCGAAGTGGTGAGAATCCACAATGGATCCAAGCAGTTGTATGCGCTGGAAGGCACAAGCATCCACGTCATGTTTGATTTATAGGCTTTTCAAGATTTGTGGGGTGGAAAACACAAAAGAAGTTCAAACTTCTCAGGCCTAGCCTATCTTTGCTTTCCACGTGCACTGGGAGCAAACACTTCATTGTCACATTCCTTTACGACGTATGACTCTATGACTCTACGACCGTACAGAGAGAAGCAAATGCCCCACAGTTGGGCACACTTGGATCCTTCAACACCCTCGTACAGGTACCCGCGAACCTGAGGAAGGATCCTTCATGATGCCACCCTTTATGAGCTTTACAAATCCAAACGGTTTGGAACGGCATCCTTCTTCGGGATCCAAGTGGAATGATGAGGGGATATTTTTTGGAACGGTTTGGAACCAATACCCTCAAAAACGGTGTCCTTCTGAAGGCGGGAGCGACGACCAAGCACGTGGCAAGAGCGACGACCAGGATCACCCATTGCCGGGTCCAACTCCCCTGGACTGATTGCAATTCATCCTTCACCGAGAAAGGACAAAAATAGAAACTAATAGACTTGAGGCCAAGGAAGGGCGAAAGCTAGCGCTCCAGAATGGGAAAGTGGAGGGCAGCTTCGCTAGCTTTCGTGATATACCCGATACCCTCTCTGAAAGAATCATGGAATCATGGATCGCACCCCCTTCCATGTCGTAAAAGGACCATGGTCTTCCGAAAATCGGGGCTGGCTGCCACCCACGTAACCATCGTGACTGTGTGTTGTCTGACTAGCGATGAGGGCTGGGTGCGAGAGAATGGGCTGGGCTGTGGACCTGAAATGGTGGTCTTCATCCTCCACCGTGTTCCATGGTTCAACCCGACGGCTTGGTCAACAAATACGTGGCTTGTAGTGGAGAAAGTCTGCCAAAACCAACAAGTACTTGAGCCCGTGGGCTGTAGTGCAGCGGTAACTTGTACTGTACTCACAGTAAAATCCTTGAATTTCTGCCACATCACCAGCTGAACAACCACATACCATACCATGCTCCCGGCAACCTGACTCATCTAAAGCTTCAACTGATCCATAACAAACGTTTTATTTTGGGTGTATTCCACACCCAAGATCGTAGTGACAATGTCAGTGCGGATATTATTCAAATGACGGCAAACAACTTGTAGTGACCGAACCTCCCGTAACGCAACAACAAATTGAAAAAAATACGTTTAAAAATCATTTGCAAACACATCCCCACAAAACAACACCACAGTGTCTCATTCTTCCATTTTCAGCTGAAATGTCGACTCTTCGTTCATAACCTCCCCCCTCAAGTTTTGATCGCGAAGCTCATATATATATATATATATAGATGGGTGGTCAACAAAAAATACCAAATCCAGAGTCCAAAATGAGATAGTCCTTCATTTCACGTAAGTGTTCGTAGACATTCGTTCATCTACTGAGATTTTGGGTCAATCTCTCCACCTCGTGACTCGACCAGGTAGATGGCGGTGGCTGCCTCGGTCGATCGCGTTTGGCCAAACCGGCCAAGGTGGAGTGGACGACGGTGCTTTTGGAGTGGTCAAGGTTGGTATTTGATGGTATTTGCATGTATATCAGGAGCTGACGTTGGATCGATCGCAAGTTGGTTTGGTATATGCTGCATGTCTTATCTATGTTGTTCGAAGCTTTTTTCTCCACCTATCAGGTGAGGGTTGCGTTCTCTTTCCAAGGCTTTCTTCCAGCAATGCCATTGGACCCGGTGCAGTGTAACAATTCCGGTGCCCTTTGGTTTCCCCCATGCTGTTCGAGGGCATGGCTAGCACCCTTTGGTCAAAGGAGCTGCCAAAAGCTTTCTTTGTCAAGAAAGCTGGCGCAAAGGCACCGACCCCTTTGTCAAAGGCGTTCACCCCTGCCGAGGACCAGTCAAGCTTGGGCTTTGAAACTGCGTGTCAAGGGTGTGGAGCCCCCTTAAATTGCAAAAAGGTATACATGGTTGGTTTCCAAAATGTCTTTTCCCAAAATGGTGCGCTCATCGCAATTCCATGGGGGCCCGCTTCTAAATCTCCTTTAAACTCCAACCACACTCAAACCACAGGGATGTTAAACATGAAGGCATGTCAACTGCCAAAACTGTGAGAGGTGTCTAGCGCGGACCTTTTCAGGGGCCTGTTGAGCTGCTGAAGCTGTCGTTGCTGCTACTGCTGCTGCTGGACTTTCCCCTTTTCGTTCTCAGAAATCTTCAGGACGACACAGGAAGGATGTAAGAGCTGACTCGAAAGATTTGGATGTAAGAGCTTCTTCTTTTTCCTGCTCTCTGCTTGTTTCTTTGTCCTGCTTGCTTATCCTGTTATGAAGAAATCCAGAGCCAACCTAGCGCCAATCTAGCGCTGCCTTGCTGTATCACCATAGTCTGCTGGGGGCCCGCTTCTAAACGGAGACTTAAAAGCACATCTCCAACCCTAAACGTTTACGTTTATCTATATTTATTGAGTAGGGCTTTTTGAGCGCAGTCCACATATATATATATAATCCTCTTGTTGAGGCACCCACAAAACATGTAGTAGATTACTTGTGAAAGTGTTTCTTCAACCCCATGTCAAAACTACGGTTTACATACTAATTTGACAGAACATTCCAAAGTTTTGGGAATTGGTGGAAACAAACCCTGGACATGACAGTCTATGTAATGTTTTTGTATTAACTTTAAATATCTCACATCTAAAACTCCCTCTCTATGTGTGTATACATATAATATTATATAATATGTATTTGCTTGTTTGATTGCAAAAACAAGCTGTTCTGGTTGGCAACCTTTTGGAAATGTGCCTGGGGTGAAGCATACGGGTGGAGCCTAACCAGGTCAAACTTTTTGCCAAGTAATGGCAGTTACAGTATCTGTACAAGGGCTTGGCATTGTGCCACGGTGCTTTTTCTTGAGGATGAGGTCTCATCAAAATCCTCCTTCATCGTCATGCTAGAAAGTCGAACCTCTTCAAGAAAAGTTGGCCGAACCTTTATCTGCAGTTGATCTCCAGTCTTGTAGCATGTGGTTGAGGAACTCAAAGAGTTCAGCAGTTCCAACCTCGCTCTTTCACAGTCACCAGCTAAGAGAAACAAATTGAACAAAAGGCATCAAAACCAGTCTCCTAAAAAAGATTTCTCATTCATACTCATTCTCTCTCTTGCAGATATCAAAATCTGTCAACGCATTTTGGTTGGTGCTACTTTCCTAGCGCAAACGTTCCCACTGAGCACAGGGAGCACACGTTCGCACACGGTTCCAGGGTGCTACCAATGTGATCACAATCATGATGTAGACCAGCACAGGCAGCGCATCAATGGCGCTACGGGCCGCATGGATCAACAGTCGGAAGGTCTCCTCACATGGCGTGGATGGCGTGGGGAGACGCGTGGGAGGACTGGAAGATATTGGTCAGTACAAGTTGTCTCTCCCCTTAAATGCTGCATGTATATGGCAAGTGTACCCACATGCCTTTCCAAAGCGCTTCAAATGGAGTCGTACTTGAAAGAGGTTGAGAACATACATGAAATACCGGCCGATAACAACATGAGGTGAGGTGTCCTACACTTACCTACCTGTATGGATCAATACGAGTGAAGTTGTTCCTCGGCCCAGAGTTCGGATGACCATGTTCTGAAGACCAAACACTTGGCATTTTCCACTTCCATTTCACGGAGGGTACGGTATTCCCTTGGAAAGGGGCGGCCCTATGGCAGGTTCGGAGGAGCTTGATGAGATGCTGATTTTTTCGTTCTGTTCCGTTACTGGTGTTTGGTGTTCTACAAATCCATCGGAAAGTGCCAAGAGGATCCGAAGCATTCTGTCGGCCACTGATCCTGGGCAAGGTGTGTCACCCACTCCGGTGTTCATCGCGACTGACTCCTGAGCTAAGACAGCTAAGAGAGTCTAAGTCTATGCTTGTAGTGCGTGAAACCACAACCTACTTGGCAGTGGTATGCTTGCACCCCTCTCATCACACACCGTTGCGTAAGGGATCCCCCTCCGCGTTCCGATCATCAAGAGGTGGTCAAGGGGCAAAGTAGCGCAGGAGCTTGAGGAAGCGGACGATGGGGAGAAAAAGCAAGAGGATCAGCTGAACATTTCCTGACAGAGACACCCACGTCCCATCCCAAGGCGAAGTGGTGTCACATCCTATGGCACCTCCTCACAAGACAGCAAAAATGAAATACCAAACACGAAAAACCCACAAGGATGCAAGCACTAAACAAACATATCGAGAGTCACCGTCACCACAGGTGGCACCGTTTGGACCCTTGGTGCGCACCGGAACCACCGGGTTTCCACCACCGACGGTCACCGAGGGACGCTTCTCTTGCAGCGCGGGGTAGACCAAGAAGCCCACCGAGGCTCGAAGCGGGAGCCCCGCGGCGGAGAAGAGGTCCTGGTCCGGGAACGGGTGGCTGGACGGTGCTCCGGTGCTCCGAACCGGACGTGGTGAGAAGCCTGTATAGAAACGAAGGAAGAACCGCAGGGGACATGGTGAGCAGAAGCCGTTTTTTTTTGGAAACACATGAACATTTTTGTTGGTGTTTCTTGATATCCCAGACACAAACACGACGTTCATGGGACTGCCATTTTTACAGACATTGACCCCGTTGAAAAACACCCCAACTGATCGGTAAAGATGCCAGTCCCATGGAGTGTTTGGGTATAAAATTGATATATACAGTATATATGTCTACGTGACCTCTCTTAGAAAGGGGCGCCCGGCCTGTAACTGGCCTATGATGTGGGGAGGATCGGTCTCGACTATCGGTCTCGACCGATGACTCAGGAGGATTGAGAAAATCAGGGGTAGTGGATTTCAGAGGTCAATGTAGGCACTTATACTATCTCATGTGTCCTGGTGTATTCCAAAACATGGTCCGTAAAATCCTATCGCCTCATCCGTAACCAATATATATATATATCTTTTTCACGGAACACAATCAGCGACTGGACAATGAGCATCGTTGCGCATAGTTGGAACATCATGTAAGGGGTCGGAGGGATTGAGGCTTTGCCACGGTGAAGTTTGGATTTGGTGCACAGTGCACCGTACCTATTGGGAAACAGGTTCAATATGGTTCAATGGGCACAGAACAAATTGCGACCACTGTTCACAACATGGGCAATTGGAAGTGAAGCTCAGTCGGGGTGGGAATCAGGCAATGAACATCTCTTTGAACACCTATGACTCCGGCCCCATCTTGGCCTGTAGAACACGACGACCCCAAGCCACCCTTGAAAAAGCGCACACTTTCAGCCAAGCAACTGCCCAGTTCAAGGGATCCAGCACCTCAAACAGGATTTGTGTCTGTGCCTGTTCCTATCTGAGAAGTGCGTTCCTGGATCCTGCTCCTGCTCCTGCTCCTGTTCCTGTTCCTGTTGTTGTTGTTGTTCCTGTTCCTGTTCCTGTTCCTGTTCCTGTTGTCGTTGTTGTTGTTGTTGTTGCTGTTGTTGATGACTCTCTTCATATCAAGCACCTCTGTGTAGCCACGATTCAGGGCAACTCGTGTGCACCTCTATGTTGCTTCGCCAGCTGTGACACCTCTCCTTGCCATGTTTGGACTGACCACTCTTTGCTACTTACTCGCCTAGTGCTCCAAGCCAGGCACCTTTGAGGGTGGTCCAGGCTCTCAAAGGCCACTGAGATGTTTACAGTGTACAGTCTTAGTTGGTGCACCCGGAGCCACACACCGGCCGTGTCAGGACGAGTCCGAGTCCGGACGCCGGGAGCAGCGAGACTGCGATGCCATGGACCATGGGACGGACGTTACTTATATATAGTCTACGTCAAAATCAAGGGGGTGAACAATATGAGGTTATACTCAGACCAGCTAGGCAGAACCACGGACAACCCAGCTCCGACTTACCCAGCTCTGTCCCAAGAAGCATAGGAGCGCTTGGAAGGGGCCGTCCTGGGCGAACCAAGGCCGTCGGGCCGTGGCCGAGTCCCGAAAAATCGCATCCTCCTTAGGCCTCCTGGCGATGCTCAGAAGGTAGGGAGTGAAGCCCTAAAGCCACCGGAGGGAGTTAGAGCGCTAGGGCCTCAGGGTTCAAGTATCTGAAAACCTATAAGAGATATTCCTGGGCAATCACTCCTTCCATCAAATGCAGAGCGAACACAAATCCCCCCAAAGGGGCACCCAAAAAGGCGAGCGTGCTGGGAATTGCTATAAATGATCCAGAATGATCGCATGTTAATGATAATATATCCCTAAGGGTCCAGGACCATCCTGAGGATGTCCTGGCTCCAGAAGACCATTCTCTGGAAGTACCTTCGCCTCCAAGACCATCCGAAAAGGAGGTACCTGGACCCTATGGGTAGTGTTATGACACATCAAGCACCCACACATCAAACAAATGTGTTGAAGCACTGTAGCACCACCCTTTACCGAGATGCAGACGCACATCTCAAAAAAAGAACTGACTGGTTGATGTTCCCCTCCACACATGTCAAAAAAAAGAGACCACCCCTGCACCACTTTCCCACCAATTTCGGGCCAAGTGGCATGATCCGACAGCAAAACTCCACGAAGAACACCACATCAAAGGTGGTCTCCACACAGGCGGCTAAGTGAGCTGAAATCATGGGCTCCTGACAATGTACAATGTGAAGCGACTTTATGATTATCTGAGTCCTATATAGAGAGTAGATGACACAATCCATGAAAGGTTGCGTATAAACTTAAATATATGTTATATGAAGCCATGAACCCCATCTAAAAGACAAACATCTTGAAGTGCCAGTGCCATCGAACCTCTGAAACCACTCTGCGGTCAAATCTCTGGGATGCAGGGGTGCACAAATGCAAAGTGCATCTCCGTGTTTCTGCGAATGGCTGATCCTCTTAGAAGTTCCTCGATCCACGGTGTGTTGCACAAACATGGTCTTCCCAAATCCTTTCGTAATGTAATATATATATACATATCCATGCACTGATGAATCTCTGGTCTCCAAAGCACCCCCAGCAACAAAAAGAATCTAGCTGTTCCAACCCACAAGATGAAATAAAGAAACACAATAGATTCGACCCCCAAAAGAATTGACGTTCCCCGCATGAGTTGAATCGAAATGACTGTGATCTCCAACCCCCTCCAAGCCTGGAGGTCACTGGCACCACAGTCCCCCGCGGCCCCTGCTTCCCTGGCCGGAGAGCCGTCCTCACCCGTTTGCACCTGAGAAATCACAAGGCCTCAGTGGAAGAAATCATCCGTTTGACCTGGTGGCCTCGAACGATGGGACTGGAAGAGTGAGTGATGTACCTATTATTCAGCAGTAACTATTCCATACATGGTCTTGACATACGTCACATGTTGGGTAGAAGTCTTGAGAAAACGAGGCCAGCCTTGGGAGAAGACTCCGCGTGTTTGCTGCGAACATCTGGTGTTTTCTGCGACTGCACCGTAGTCTTTACATATGTCTTTCATCTGGGTCAAGACCGAAGCAACTTTAGGACCGAAGCATCTGGGTCAATGATGCATGGAAACGCTTGATCGTGCAGGTCTGGAACTAAAAACCACTTAGGCCATCGGGGATAGAATCTTTCTCTGTGCTGCCTTCTCCAATTTCGCTCCAACCTTCTGGAGTAGTTGGAGTTTGAGCCATTACACTCCGAGGTAACATGGAAGTGGATGACACAGGCTCCCTGGAGCCCTACAAACAGGTGGCTTTTCACTTCCATATGATGGAGTCTGGAGAGTATCTTTCTTCTCCACGGATTTCTTCTCCAAGTGGCCAGTGATCACCATGACTTTTAAGAATTGGCTGATCCAATATGCCGGGCGACTGGAGTCCTGCCGCAGCTTCTGCTTGAGGGTTTCAACTTTCAACTCGGCTTGAAACGTATTCGTGAAGATACAGTGGATGTCAGTGGGATCCATCGTCCCATGTTCAGATAGTAAAGGTTCAACTGTTAACTTGGATTTTTGTTCATTAAAGTCAAATATAGATGAATAAAACTATTAAAACATCCCGTCATCGTCACCGCTGATGATGAAGGTTCCTTGGCCCGAGACATCCAGACCCAGCGGGTCCCAAACTCCACTTGACGCCACACACGGAACGGTCGTACAGTCCCCGTTGGGATCCGGTGAAGATCGGGACTCCAAATGGTGCCACATCAAGTCCATTCAAATCCACCAGGAAGAGGAGCCCTCATCCAAGACTCTGAGAGTGGTGAAAAATCTGAGTGTGGTGGCTGGAATGACTAAAATTGACTTCATGATGTCCACAACTAACCGTTAGGTCCGTTAGGTCCTCAGCTTTTTTGCCGGTAAGTACATGCGACATGACAGGAGATCTGCAAGTTTGTTTGTTGGAAGTTCCACCCAAGTCGTCTTCAAAGAGATAGATAGAAGCAAAGTCCCCCAACCATCATTGGACCCTCCTATGGAGGGTCTTGACCCTGCATGGCAAAGGTTTGGCCCCTCAACCAAACCTTCACCTTTGAAGGTCCTTGATTTCTTAGAGTCCAATGCAATTGTCATTAGATGTAATTCAGCTAAGGTGTTGGAACTTTTCTCTCGCTCTCTCTCTCTCTCTCTCTGTTCAGTATATCATCTCATTTCTACTGCATGCCCCTTCAAAAACCATTTAAACACATGGTTGATCAGTTTTGTAGTCTAAATGTCCCTAGTCAAACAATTGCTCTTTGGCAAAGACAAAACCCGTGGGGCTATTGCTTTACATGACTCTCCACGACCTCCACTCCATCAATCCGCGGTCCGGATCGTCCAAGAGCTCCCAGAGCGAATCCCAGCGACTGCGTTCGCCCTGCAAGCGGAGCAGTGGAGCACGAGACACCTCCTGGCGAGGAACGAGGGCGACGAGCAACGTGTGGAGGGGGAGGTGATGGTATGTGGACCGAGAAAAACCCCCTGGTGGTTGTCATAGGAAGTGGATGATGGCCGTGGGCCGTTTCCAAGCAAACATAACTGTATGAAACTCGGTATATGTATATATGATGTGATTATATATTCTACCTATCTACATAATATATATATATAAGATTGTCAAGATTATGTACGTGTTGTTTCTAAGAGTGATCTACTAGTATCATCTAGTATCAACATATACAGTATATATATATATATATGTAAGATTATGTAAGTGTTTTCTCTAAGACTGAATGCACTTACACAGCATCTCTCTCGCTCTCTCGCCTATGCGGGCTTGGCATCAAGGCGCTCACCGAGATTGCTGAAGTGTAACACCACCAAAGACTTCCGGGTCAGAATTGATGCAAACCGTCTGCCGGGTCAGTATGAGACAGTACTAGATTTGGAGGTCAAACATCTATCACAGATTCGGATACATGGAGTCAAGCTGCCAAACACCCGCGGTGCAAAAAGGGATCCCAACGGTTTTTGGATTGAATGCTCGACGGGACTGGGCCGTCTCAGTGGTATTGTCCAAACAGCCATCAGAATTGGATGGACATGACGCTCCTGAACCCTCCACTGTAGAGTCTGACCCCCTGCATTGGAGGGTCCATTTTTCATCGCAATTTATACCCCAAAAAAACTACGTACTATCTTCAGCAAACTGCTTGGTCGGGCTGATATTGTTGATATGATAGGGTGTGTAGTGCGATTGAGGGGTGCATGCACATCAACAAACGCAAACAAAACCAGCAAAGCACACATACACAATCCTATATTATAGTATATTTATATTCTACATATGTGTGCATGGTAGAGGACGATTTGTACCTATGCCTATGCCGGCTGGTGCATCTACTGCAAAATAGTCGACGTCATGTGGAAAATCAGCGTGCCACAACCAGACGACAATTAAACAAAAGGAAAACTTATCATCATAACAAAGATGAAAAGAAGGATACCGGAAACCTTCAAACCGATTCAAACCTATAACCTGCTGAGGTGGCGAGGGTGGCGTGGGAGGGGCCCGTTTTTGAGGGCCCTGACGCAAGAGAATTCCGTGCCACATGTGGAGAACGCAGTCAATACCACGGAGGTTGTGCATTTGTTATATAGAGATCTCTGACTTCATGGGTTACAGTAGAGTGGTATTTTCCCTTGACAGGTCTCTTCTTCGTTTTTGAAACCCACATCACCCGACACCCCAGTGGGTCCAGTGTCATCAACGTTTGTGCATGCTTCTGCCAGGCAGATTGGAGATCCGCTGGCAGCGAACGCTCGCGCAAACGGGAGCCACGGATCGACTTCCCTGCGGGCCGCGGCACGTGGAACATCAGGAGCTGGAACTACTCCCTAAGCCCTCCAAGTACGAGTACCTTCTAAGATGGTGGGACTGGGGTGGGTTCAGAGGGTCCAAATACCTTCTGAGGCACGACTGGAGCTCTAGGGATCATGGTTGACTCCGTTTGTTAAAGGAAAAATGGTCTTCCCGGGACCAGAAAGCCTTCCACATAACCATGGTCGTGGGTCAGAGTGTGCTTCGGTGGAAGGGGTGTTGCGATTCGGGTGATTCGGATCGGGTTCAAGTGCACGAGTGAATTCTGAACCCCTTCGCTTCACAACTCGCACCACTTCGCATCTCCCTCTTCGACCCTGGAGATCGGTTCCGGCCACCAGAACATCGACACGACCGAGCTTGGACGAGCCGACCTGACCGACCTGCGTCTTTGGGGGTGTGTACAAGGATATGTACAAGAATGCTTGCTTGAAGGGACAGAAAAACGAGAACATCCAGGCAAAACGGTTTTTGTTTAAGATTTTTTGGGGGATAATTTTGGTGGACTCGATCACCTTGATGTATCCCACCAGAGATAATCAGTTCGGATCAATCCCTAAAGAACTGGAGCCAGCCTGTCTCCCACCATGCCTGCGCCTAGAACGCTGCTGCCGGCCCCAACTCTGCTGTTCTTGGAGCCCATTCGACTGTTTTGAGCCCGGCTCGTTGTGGTCGTCTTCGATGGCGGCCTCACCCCGCTCGTGTGGCATCTCGAATGCCGAGGTCTCGATGATCTTTCTCACCCACCATACCCAAACACTCCATGTACTGTATGCCATAATATGCCGATCAGTTGACCCCCCTGGCACCCCTGGCCGTTTCTCGGCATATATATATATATATTATATGGCAGTCCCATGGAGTCTTTGGGATATGAAGAGGTCTTAAAATCCATGAATCCAAAGCCTACATGACTTGAGCTCCAGGTGACCAACGGATTAGGCGGTTTTCAAACAGCTGACCTGATGGACATGTTAGTTTTCTCCAGCCAAGAACGGGTGGATTGGTCCCTGGTCCTATTCATATCAGTTGTGATGTGCATAATATAACTATATATATATATATACTTTGGAATCATTGGGGAGGTGGAAAGCATTGGAAAACCACCTGTTTGAAGACTGTAGAGGACAATTATTGCCTTCTAAGGGGCCATCTGCTTCCATGATGATTTCCGGAGAGTGTAGTGTAAAGTCCCAACAAAAATGGTTCAAAATGGTGTCCGGCTTCTCACCCATCCGACTAGGGGTCTCTTTGATCCTCCTGCTCGTGTGGCTTAACCGACCGGTGTCACATCCACTTCTGCCACGTCACAGTCGTTACGTCGCTACCAGTAGCCTCTTGCTACTAGTAGTAATGGCCTCCAGTAAGAACCATGAATCGTCTGCACAGTAGGGAGCCAAGTTCTCTATGAGAACAAGGACCAAAACATGCCCCCACGGGAAGCAGCCCGGGAAAACGGGAGGCAAGAAGGAAAACGCAGGGGAAACAAAAAAAACAACCCTGGAGCTCTCGCCCGGCGAGCAAGGCTCATGCAAGCTGGGGCCGGGGAGGAAAAAGAAAACAGAAGAGCAAAAACAAGGAACCTGTCAACTACAGGTGACCCTGTGCTCAAAACGGGCCGGCACTCAGACAGGATCGAGGCAAGCACTAGGCGTCCAATTCGGCACGCCTTCGCAACGCAGCCCGGGCCCTCCAACTGCGCACAAGCACAGAAGCCTCTTGCAGCAGCGTGCTGCCATCACTGCCAGCTGCACGGCCGATGTATTCCAAGGCCTTGGCTGCTTCAGGCGCCCAAGCGCCAGTAGTCTCGACAACCATGGGCAAGAAGAACACCTGTTGGGCGGCGCAAGCCTCAGCAGTATCCAAATGCCTTCGCTTGTGCTCAGTGTACGCCGACGCAGCCGAAGTGATCCCCGCCGCTCCAAGGACGTCCAACCGCTGAGGCGCCGTGATGGCGAAGTCAAGGGCGGTCGGACGACCATGGAACGAAGGGAGAAACACATCAGCAGGTCGTCGGCGGGCATTGTGCACTTCATCAGGCTGCTGGGGCAGCAAGAGGCCAGGTCGTTCTTTCTCAGGGCGAAGGCAGCCCTTTTCAGCCCAGCTGTAAACCAAGTCCCGCAGGCCATTGTGGCGCAAAGCGCGCTCCCCACCAGCTGAGCACATCCCAGAGTGATGGCCATAAGTGTCCAGCACGGCTTCTGTGTGGCTTTGTGTGGAGCTTTCCGGAGCTTCCGCCCACCGGGCCATCTATCTGGGCGGAAACGCCATCGAAAACACCAGGAGTCACAGGTAGTCGGAGTACGGAACGAATGAACGAAGTCGGGGTGCCAAGAACATCCACTCACTGCAGCATGGGACGAGGCAAACCACCCCTCTCTGTGACTCCTGACTCCTGGTAGGTGTGAATTGATCGATCCAAAAACCAAGCACTTGGTGAGACTTGATGCAAGTCAAGCATGAACTGCTCACATCTAGTTGTGTATAGCTTGCTCAATAGCAAGGTATATAGTTGTGTTGTTGCCTATTACGCTCGCGCGGTCAGGTCACGATCTGATCAACGTGGGTCCAATGGTCCGGTCAAATGCGTCACTGCCGCCTCTGGACGAAGGAGTTCATGGAGAAGTTGCTCGGGCGCCGGGGTCGACTGCTCTCCTCGTGGCCTGCGGCGCTTTCGTGCGTGCGTGGGCGTTCGGCGGTTCCGAAGGGTATCGGTTCGCAGCCCGGATTTTTTGGCGGGGGGGTCCGGGGGGTGGGTGGAAATCATCGGAATCATTTGGGAATAGCTTATTAAAGCTTGTGTTCACCAAGACTCAGATCTGGCGCTTGCTTCATAGCTGGTCTCCACCTAGTTCCAAATCTCAGCGCTTTGGGCTTCGTGCCTAGCAGCTACAGGGCATCCAACAAGAAATCCAGTCTCCAACATTCAACCACAAAACCTTCGTATATATCAGCACCTTCAAAGGGTGCAAGCCCCTACACTACTATCCGGGATCTCCATTGCACACCCCTTGAAGGTCCAGGTCGTAAGTTGGATCCTTTTTTGGGACATATCCTTCATCTTGGATTCCCATGGATTCCCTATAAGCTCAAAACAGAACAACTGGACGACCTCCAACTCCCGCCACACTGGGCTTCCCGGGCCGTTCGGCAGGATCCCGTGAGGCTCTTCAGAGCGGAAGCTTCCCGGGCCGTTCACTCCTTCGTTCCTGAAGCGGAAGCTCTGGGCGTGATCGACGCGATCGGCGCGATGAAAACACCCCCAAGGTACATTGATAAAAACATATACAGTGTTACAGTATATAAGTATATATAATCATATATATATAATATATATATATTATACAATTTGTATCAATTTGTGAATATATGCCATTCCCATGGAGTCTTCGGGAGGGTGGAGCCCCTGTAACACCACCAAGGGCTCCACCCCTCCCAATCGTCACGCGTCCCGGGAGCCATCGATCCGGGTCGACCGCTGGGGAGCGTTCCACGGGGAGGTCGTTGTGGATGGGGAGGGCGTTCCACGAACAGCACAGGGAGACCTGCAAGTCTCAGAAACCCAGTGGCGGGTGCTGGTTGGGATGGACCCCAAATTCTGCGAAGTAAGCAGGAGGATTTTGGAGGATTAAGGAGCTTTAGTGCTTCAAAGATCGATCTCTTGAACCTTGGAGCTTTAACACTATCGCGGATCTCACCAACATCATGCCAACTAAATCAACTCTTATTAATCCTACCCTGGCTGTTGATTGCTTCGCGAAACCCCCTTTCGTCCCACCTCTAGACCGTTAAGAGCACAAACTATATATACGTCAATTTGAAACCGCGGTCAACACCGCGACCCACGTGAAACCCGTCGTCCTCGGAAACGGACGTCCAAAACCCGCGAACGCCCTCCGTGGAAACCACGCCCTCCGTGGTTTCTCCACGGCTGCGCGAGTCGATCCGAGGCTCAATCTCAGTGAGGTGCGCGGAAAGCGCCGGGCCTCGACCTCAGACCTGGCCGTCAAGTCGAGGGAGTGAGGGAGAACCCGGCCTGAGTCGATCTCCCGGTGAACCGCGTGGGGGATGGTGTTGGTTCTAGGGATCGCGCAGGTGACGTTCTCTTGGGGGAAGAAGACGAAGGGGCTGTGAAGCAACCTTGCCCAATCAAGATTACCTGGAGTCTCAGTATGCACCTTCCAAAATGCAATGCAAGTACCTATCAAGTACCTTATATATATACACACAGGTTCCAGATTTAAGAAGGGTCATAGAGTCTATAGAGTAACTGCATGAGAACTTAAGGCCGGGTCCAGGTATAGTCCATTTTTGCTGTGATGTGCTATGACGCCCCTAGCGCTGCTGCAGCCGATGCAGTTGGTCTTCTGGGGATGTTCCGTTGGGTTCGGACGCATCCGATGGACTAGCTTATACTGATACTACTAGTCTGTTGTTTAGGTGAGCTTTGATTTTGTCAAATCAAGATATCGACATTGTCATTGTCTGCATGCAGGGTTTGACTTGAGCATCTGTTCTGTGCGCATGATGCAAGGCGGCGGTCAGTCATAAAGATCGTATCACCATTCGAGAGGTCCATCTTCACGCTGTGCTCCGGTAGAGGCTCCAGTAGACTGTTGGGACGGACTGGTCGTTGGCACAACTGGGCGAACATCAACTGAAAAAATCCGGTTCGGTTTGGTGAGTCTTCCATCATCACCAAGGCCACGCCTTTGTAGAAGCAGTCCCTCATCAAAGTACCAGTTCCGGGTCTTGTAGCAACCTATAGTGTTTAATTCATGCGACGTTACTCCTTTGCTAATGATGTCCCTACTTTCTGCTTTTGCATTTTGGGATCCTGACCCGGCTACTTCCTCACGCAAGACCTACAGCACAAACCCTCGCGACGCACCAGTTCTGGCGCCACTTTGAGACAGTAGCCTGCCTCGAAGAAGCTTCAGACAGGCAAGCAAGGCAATGATCCACCTGCCACTTCGGCTCCAGTGGTCAAAATGCATCGAGGCATTGAAAACCCAAGGGCCGCGTTTGTCCGGCAAAGGCTCCAAAAAACTTGAAAAAACAGCAGTGCTGGTGGGAAAACCATGGAAAACAACGTTCCTTCACAGCTTGCATACAAATCACGCCAAGATATGCCAATAATATAGTCGATGATCGTCGATGAGTTCTTTCTATCTGGCATGGCCACCGAAAATTCTCTTTCGTCAGCACGAAACTACACTTGACATACTGTACCCCACCACTTAGGAGAGCTACTTGATTCGTGGTCATCGGCCGGATGTAAAGGGTGCCTTTTTTGGTATCCAAAAGCCAATACACGGAGCTTCCGGAAGAGACTCGTTTGAGGATTTCTAGGTATACTGGTATACTAGTCTACTGGGATCCCTGCTTCTTCATGCGTCTTCCTTGCCACAAACCTTCCTCCCTGGCTCGGCAGCGGCCGGAAGGGAAAAAAGAGCAGCCCTGCCACTGCTGGATTCCGCAGCCTGCTCGGCGATGCGATCAAGTTTCGCCTCGATCTCGGCGAAGGGTGAGTTCTCACTGGGCTCTTCGATCCTGAGAACGCCCGAGTGCGGAAGTCAGCTGAGTGGGAAACACGTTGAAATGATATTTTTTAATGAATTTATATGAACCTCAAATAGATAGACAAGTAAGTAAATCCCCACAAAAAACGTATTGGACATCGTTTCTATCTACTTGGTGGAAAGAATTTGCCTTTGAACTGAATTTGGGTATATATTCCCCCACTGAAACTTAGAATGCCTGTTTGGAAAAAAGATTGCATCAGCATAAATCACCGTTTGGAAAAATCCCCCCGGATTTTTTGCCGATGTTTCGAGAAAGTTATGTCAGCAGCACAGATTCGTGGTAAAACACAGGGTTTTGACCCATCCAAGTCCGTGGGGCGGACCAAAACATGATCAAAACCCTGTGTTTTTCCAATGTACTGAAAGATTTGCTACAACTTAGAATGTCCCAGAAGGCAGCTGGCTCAGTGACTTGGGAATGACATTGTGTGTGACGCTACACAGTTAGCAAACAGATCCAGTATATATATATACATATCGGAGAGACAAACTCGGACACTCGACTGTGGAGTAGAGACACACACACATATATATATACATATCTCAGATTTGATTTTGTTTCCGCAACCTCACTGAAAGCTGGAATGCCTGCATTTAGATGGTGCCCAGATGCAACTTAGAATGCCCGCAATGTCAGGCATTCTAAGTTTAATAGAAAATGCTCAAAAACACCACACCCCCCGGAGAAAAATAACGGGCATTCTAAGTTTTCATGCAAAATTTTGGAAAATGCAGGCATTCCAAGTTTCAGTGGAGGAATATAATATACATGCATATGAAAGAGATGTGAAATTCAACATGACACTGTTCCCAACATTGAGGGAGATATACCTCAACATTGTGGCTCAACACTAGGGCCCTTGAGCACATTCAAGGTACAAACAAAAGGCGCGAGCATTTCAGCAAACAGTTCAACAATACTTCAAACTTTACATGGTAGCGGAGCAGACCTGGAAACGATCCGGGCTGCTCAACTGATCAACCGATCAGTCACAACAACAAAGCATAGCATCAACAGCCATTGCCGGAGAGGCTTGATCTACTGATCAGCAACGGGCCAGTAGGGACTTCTTGACAATGGCGCAGGCAGGGGAACAACAAGGACGAGAACCACAGGAAGCATTAGCAAGCTCACACAAGTACCGCATCAAGCCACCAACATTTGACGGCAACTATGCACACTTCGAGGAATGGAAGCACAAATTCACAGCATACATGGGACTCACCAACAACAGGTATCCACTACTGCTAGACCAGACAGCAGCAGCAGCCACCCTCATTGATGAGGCAAGACTACGAGGAGCAGCATCAACAACAGAAGAAGCCAACGAGAACATCCAAATGTCAGCAGATCTGAAGTACATCCTCATCAGCATCACCAGTGGATCAGCAGCGATGATTTGCAGACAATATCAGCAGACAACAGGCTTCGAGATATGGAGACAACTCCATGTCCGATTCATGATTCCAACAGGAACTCGAGGAATCGGTTATCTCACACGACTTCTCAAACCAACATTCGATCAGCACAACTTCGAAGAGTCTTTCACACAATGGGAATATGAAGTCAACAGATTTGAGACAGACAACCAATCACCATTACCAGACGCAGTCAAAGTTGCCATCTTGCTCAACGAGACCAAAGGTTCACTACAGCAACATCTACAACTACAAGCAGGTACAAATCCAACATACACACACATCAGAACAACCATCATGGAATACTACAAGTCGATTACCGCCTTCAGCAGGATGCAACAAGCCACATCAGCTCAAGCAACATACCAAGGAGGAGGAGCCGCGCCAATGGACATAGGAGCAATCAACAAAGGAAAAGGAAAAGGCTACAAAGGAAAGAGCAACAAGGGCAAAAGCAAGCAGAACAAGGGCTACAACGACAGCAAGGGAAAAGGCAATGGACACTACAACAAAGGAGGATTCGGCAAGGGCAAAGGAAAGATACAGATGCAACAGAAAGGATGGCAACAACAGCCGATTGGACAAGGCAATCCATTCAGCAAGGGCTACGCACAAGCACCACACAAAGGCAACAAAGGAAAAGGCAAAGGTAAGCCAGTCACAGCAATCTGCTACAAGTGCGGCAACCCAGGTCACATGGCCCGGGATTGTCGAGTGGCAGTGTACAACATGGGGGAAGCGACATATGAAGATCAAACACAAGCATGGTGGAATGACCAACAGTATGATGCAACATGGTGGAGCCAGGACTTACGACATGTTCAGCAGCCACAGTCGCAACAGCAGTTAGCCTTACCACCAGCTCCAACATATCCAGTAGCTCAAGCAAACACTGAGCAAATCCACTTCATCAGCGGGGTCGGCAACGACCTTCTCATTGCAGCCATTGGGCATCAACAGGTAAGCAAGACACAGAGCACAACTGATTCCAGCAGAGCGCATCTCATGATCGACAGTGGAGCAGCAACCCATGTATGCCCAACATGGTTTGCGCCAGCATCACCTATGCACCCACTCAGCAATGAACAAGGACCAAGACTTCGATCAGTGACCAACGACAACATCCAGCTGTTTGGGTACAAATGGGTCTACATGTAGCACAACAACGGACAAAGCATCGTCATCCCATTCTACGTATGCAATGTCCATCAACCCATTCTGTCAGTCACCAGACTGGCTGAACAAGGATTTACATTGCAGTTCGGGGACAACCCGCACATTGAACACAGTAAAGGGTTTCGATCAACACTGGAACAGAAGGATAGTCTGTATTATCTCAACACAAAGATCCTTCAACTGCCAGAGGATCACAGACTACACATCGAACAGGCCGACGACGGAACAGTCTCGGCCATGATCGCGCCAACAACAGCTCTCACACCTGATGGTCCAACAGTCGTTCTTGGAGGCCGACAGGACTATTGGACATACAACAGTGATGGTTACCTGGTACGTGTCCACAAGGTTCCACGCAAGGCACTGTTTCAACCAGAACGCACATGTCCTGTGCCAACAACGCAACTTGAAGACTTTAGGAGAACAATTGTACGACGAGAAGACTGCAACAACGAGGACATCAGGGACAACTACCTCACCATCAACAAGCATCAGCAACGACGTGTCCTCAAGGGACAACCCTGGACAGGTGAGACCTGGTTCAAGGTCAAGCTTGGAACAACCCCAATGAGCACAAAAGTCACACCACCAGCAACATCAAAGCCTGTAGCCATCGAGAACAAAGGAAAGTCAGCAGGAAAAGGAAAGAAGGCAACAACACAGCCTCAGGCATCACAAACACTCCAACAGCCGGAGCAGCATATCACAAAGCAACCACTCTACAGGCATACCTTCAAGAGTACACCGCCTACGACAACGGCAATCCCACATCCAAAGGACGTGGTAGCAACGTCTGATTACTGGATGCGGGAAGGACACTTTTGGAAACGTGTCCACATCCAGCCAAGAACAACCTTCTACATTCCAGAGCGAACAGACGACGGACCAGACATCAGCAAGTTGAAAGCATGGAGACAGACATTCACAACGACGAACACACACAAAGGCAACAGGTATGAAGATGATTGGACAGAAAAGCCCAACAAAGCCTTGAATTATGAGTGGACAGGATCCACTAACTTTGAGGAAGCAACAGAGTACAACGCCGAATACGACACAGATGAAGGAGAGCAACAACAGGCAGCAAGGAAAGCAACAGAGGTACCTAGACCACAACAGCCAACGGCTCAGGAACGAGCAGAGCACGAGCTAAGGTGTGACATCTGCGTTCGCACCAAAGGCAAGACCAACAGTCATCCAAGACAGAAGAGCAGTCAACCAGTCATCCAGGTCGACATGACCTACATCAAGAGCCTCGACGACAAGTCCACAACGCCAATCCTAACAGCAATTGACGTCGAGACTGGAATGAGCATGGCAACACTCATCCAGGATCGAACTCAACATTTTGAGTATTTAGTCAACTGCATGTGCAACTTCCTTATGGAGTCCGGAAGGGCAAAGGCCATCCTGGCCAACACAGTTCTACAATCAGATCAAGAACAATTTCTCATCAACCTTCTGAAAGCTACAGCTTTACGACTAGGAAACAACATCTCTGCAGTCAGGCAGAGTGCAGCATACAACAGCCAATCACAAGGTTCAGTGGAGCGATTTCACAGAACACTGATCTCACAAATCAGATCACTTCGAGCACAAGTCAAGCAATACTATGACAGAGACATCAACTGCGAGCAACCGCTTAAAGCCGTGGCTAGTACGGCATTCCAACTACTTGCTCAACCGCTACCTCATTCACAACGATGGCAACACCAGCTTCTACAGACGCTGGGGAAAGGAACACAAAACCCCAATCTGCATCTTTGCAGAAACAGTTCAATACATGGCTCAGACAGCAAAGACAATGCCAAAGCTTGAGCAGCGCTTCTTCAAAGGCATTTGGCTTGGCAAGGATACAACAACAAATGAACACATCATTGGCATTGCCAGAGTCGTCAGAGCACGAACAATTCGGAGGATGGTTCTTCCAGACAACTTCGACAAACAACTCTTAGACATCATCAACTCTTATCCATGGACACCCATTTCAACAGCTCCAACAGGCGTTATGCCACTTGCCATTTCGGCACCGAAGCCATCAGCAACGGCAGAGACACAGACTGTCGACGCACAACCACTGATCACAAGCAAGCACACAAGCGAACAACAAGAATCAGAGGAGAACAAGCGCAGAAGGGTCATTACGGACGTCCCCCTTGCAACATCACCAACATCTCAACAGAAGAGACAAGCACTACCAATGCCAACACTAGGAGACGGCTCACCAATCAAGCGAAGCCTTGAAGCACCAACAACAACCTCAGCAACGAAGCATGAGCCGAAGCAAGTTCGAACAACTCTCGAGATCAGCGGCTCAGCAACAGGAAGGACAGAACAAGCAGCAACAAGACTGAGGATCTCAGCACTTCAGGTGACAACAAAGAAAGGAGAAACAATCACAGCAACAGCAAATGAAGATGATGAGGAAGCGACAACAGAACGCATCCTTCTAGAACCAATCATCCATGACACAGAAGGATTCGACAAGCAAAAGCTCATCACTGGCATGAAGAAAGAGATCGACTCCATGAAGCAACAACAGGTCTTCACAGAACGACACATGGACGAGCTCACTCCCGAAGAACAACAGACCATCATCCAGAGCAAATGGGTTCACAGGGAGAAAGGCGATGACGTTCGATGTCGCATCGTCGCCAAAGGCTTCACAGAGCACGTCAACGACGCCGATGACATCTATGCCTCAACACCTGTGTTTGCAGTGCTCAGATGGCTTCTGGCACTAGCACTCACATTCCGGTGGAGCATCACAACAGGTGACATCAGCACAGCCTTTCTACACGCAGCTGCAGCAGTGACAACAGGAGTCGCATTACATATGTATCCACCAACAGAGTTCTACAATGCTGCAGACCGCATAGTCTGGAGATTGAACAAGGCCCTTTATGGGCTCAGATCATCACCAAAGGCCTGGCAGGATCATATTGCAGACATCCTTCAACATGTGTTGAAGCTGGAGCGCCTCAGAACAGAACCAAACGTCTTCAAGACACCAGGCAACACCTGCTCAACAACAACATTCTTGATGGTTTATGTAGACGACCTTTTCTTCCCGGGTCCACACGAGACCATCAATAAGATCTTCAAGCAGATTCAACAACATCTTCTTCTTCGACGAACTGGAGAGCTAACAGCCGGAAAGACAGTGACATTCCTGGGGCGCAACATCACACACTGTGGAACACACTTTGAGCTCTCACTTGGCAACCACTATGTTGACAACATCATCACGGAAGTCAAAATGGCGACATGCAATCCATCAGCGACCCCAGGGACGGCAGCACTACGAGCAACAGATGAACATGAGCAAGACCTCAGCAGAGAAGAACATGGAATGTACAGACGTGTAGTAGGCAAGCTTCAATGGCTTGTCTACACAAGGCCAGACTTGGCCTATGCAACAAAGGAACTTGCAAGAGCACTCAACAAGCCAACCACACAGGATTGGAAGCGCATGAAACATGTCGTGAGGTATCTACAAGGAACAAAGCACTACAAGTTCACAGTCTAACCAACAGCACAAATAACTGATGAACTTAAGGAGATCGACGTTGATGCATATGTCGATGCTGACTGGGCAGGAGATCCAGTCACAAGGAAATCAACATCCGGGTTTGCCATCTACATCTTTGGCACCTGTGTACAATTCGGAAGCAGAACACAACAAACAGTAGCACTTAGTAGCGCAGAGAGTGAACTCTACGCGATCGGAACAGGAACAATTGAATCACTACACCTCAGCTATTTCCTCAAGGAACTACACAGCAACCTCAAGATCAACATCCGCATTCTCACTGACTCATCAGCAGGAAAGTCCATTGCAACACGCATTGGCAGCTCAAAGAAAGCAAAGCACATCCAGATCAAGTATCTCTTCGTGCAACAACTCGTTCAGGCCAACATCATTTCAATCGTGAAGATAAGGAGCAATGACAACAGAGCAGACGTCTTCACCAAGCATGTGACTCCTGAAACACTCAGGAGGCATCTGCAAGCCATCGGTCTCATTGACCGAAACAACAACTCACACAATTGAGAAGCTAGCAGTTTCACAGCAGCAATCTTCAACATGAAGATCAAGCAGTCAGCAAACATGCATGCAGCATGACTTCCAACATGGAGGTCGAGCAATGTGTTTCAAGCAAATGTGCCTCAACAAGAGATGCAAATGATAGTCACGTGCGCGTGCGTGTACAGCGTGAGCAGTGCGCAGACACACATAAACAGTGCACATTTAGAATTTCGATGCCATGGTTCGATGCCGTTCTCTCAACAGAGACGAAGCCCATCGATTACATGATCTCTCTTTTGGTTTCAACACCTTCTTGCCGATCGATCGCTCCAACATGATTTTCATGCACGTCAACACTTTTCAGTCTCAACATGTGATTTCGGAAGGTGATTTGAATTCAACGTTTTTGCCGCCCTTTCATTCAGAGCTCAACAGCCAGAAGCGTAATCTTCGCCTTCAACCTCGGTAACATGGCTGTGGTTCAACTCACTCCGATGACGGGAACATGTCAGGTCTATGAGGCCACGTTCCCAATTCCAACGCATGGAGGTCAGGACAAGAGGACACCAACATGCACAGCCCACTTAACATCAACCCGGACATCAACACGGGCTCGATCACGGAAGAGGGTGTGAACAACCCCTGAGCCTTTCAACGAAGGTCAACACTGGAGTCAACGGGTGCGTAAGTCACTAGATGACTCAACAGTGTCAGTTTTTGCCAGATCGCTGTCTGAACACGACATTGATCTGAGGGACGGTGTGAAATTCAACATGACACTGTTCCCAACATTGAGGGAGATATACCTCAACATTGTGGCTCAACACTACGGCCCTTGAGCACATTCAAGATACAAACAAAAGGCGCGAGCATTTCAGCAAACAGTTCAACAATACTTCAAACTTTACAAGAGAGAGAGAGAGAGGCTATAGATTGATGACGGGGGTGTTTGGGTTGAGTGGTGGACCCTCAACCCCTGCGGCTGCTGGTGGCTGTTGGTAAATGCTAGTGGCAGCAGTGTGGCCAAAGTGATCAGCGGCCGTGGTGTACGGGCCGGGTAGATTGGATCCAACACCAGCATGCTGCAAGAGTGCAATGATCACCATAATATCAAAATTAACAAAACAGACTAAACTAAACACTTTAAGTTGCACAATCAACAGTTGTTTTTCCAATTTCCAATTGTTACCATGATCACATCAAAACGTGCATCCATGTACAGATCATCTTCACCTGACAGGCGGGAGAGGAAACCAAAAACACGGACATTGCACCTTGGACTTCGAAGATCAGCCGGTCCAAAAGTTAAAAGGACATAAAAGGACAAGGCTTGTGAGCTGAGACGGGACGTCATTCGGAGATCCGCCCGAAGACCGAATACCTAATTCACTTGACGTGACTTAGACCGCTTGCGCTGAGGGCCATTGAATCAATTTTTGCGTGATCATCTTGAGGGCGTCCTATTCAGATTGCAACACGTGAAACGGCGTGATATCTGTGCTACCCACGTTCACCCACACGTGGCCCCAAAAAACTAAGAGGAATATGCACCATACTCAGACTGGCTGGCTGCTTCACATGCTTCACTTGTTTTGGTCCAGTTCGCCACCCCACTGCCAAGTGTCAGGTTGGGCAGCTTGGGCAGTGCCATGGCGTCGGCTGCCAATCGGCGCGGCCGAAAAAAGACGCTGGGCCCAAAGCACTGCGAGTACGGAGAGTGGCACCTGGCTTCCTGGGCCCTTGGTGGGGCCAGAGCCCCAAAGGCCGGGACTGTTCGGGGTTCTGGCTTGAAGGCCTTTCAAAGCTGCAGCCTTACATGTACCACTAACCGGCATTGTCATGGTCACTGGCATTGGCATGGTCACCTTTTATACTGGTTCGACTTTTCACTGGTCATATTGGAATTTGATAGCAAAGCAACAGCAATCAACAGCATATCATCAAAACCCAAAGCCTCAGCCCCTAAGTATCCACATACCCTCCAAACGCGCATCCAAACGCGTGGTGTTTCAATACACGGTCCATCCAAATCGCCGGAAGATCCGGAGCGGGCCCCCGTCGCGGGAAGCTCCGTGTTCGACGCCTTGGCGCTGGATGAAGACGGTGACCTATTCGCACGTGTTCTGCCTCTTTCGCCAGCGGGTGAGTGGACTGTTTGGTGACCTATTTCGATGGATTAGTGTGTGAGCGTGTCAAAGTGTGTGAGTGTGCAACTACCAGTAGGCTGTGGGTTGAGTGGTGTGGCTCGAGCTGGTTCATGGCCTCAGCATTCATCTGGAGAATGGCGAGCTTGAGGCATTGACTTCTCTTAGAGAAATCGCAGAGTTCAAAGCACACTCTCCTGTATTGCCAGGAGACCATGCCAACTTAAAGGTGAGAAATTCACTGCTTCGATACCAAAGCCATGTACCCCACCTATGCACGCCAAAGACCTTTCTTCAGGTCTTGGGCTTTGGGCTGCCAAGTGACCACTGAGTCTGGCAATTGCAAGTATGTGCCAATGTACCACGAACCATGGATTTCACTATCCAGATCTATCCAGTATACTTGATGGTGTCCTTGAAGTTGTCTTAATTGGTCTTCCAAACGGGACCGTGGCTCAAACGGGGGGTGAAAAATGGCACAATCAGCAAACCAAGTAACCGGCGTGACCGGATGAATAAACCCAGTAACCTCCCCGAGAAGGTCATAAGTTGGACGTACATGATGTGGAGCACCACCCCCATAAACATAGAGTCCTCTCTAAACAACACACAACAACAACCCTGGACAGTCCAGACCGTCGATGTATGATCTCCAAAAAAGGGTTAAGGGTCTCCATGAAACAGTCCACAAGCAGGTCCTGCTATATATTTAGCAGAAACATATTTCTGGTGCAGTGCATTGACAAAGTAGGCTAGTTTACATCAATTTTAAACATTGAACAGCCAAAGCCACTATCACACAGCCGATGCTTGCACCAACAATTCTGTCTAAAGCCCACAAGTGTCTCATCGAACTCCCGTCAGCATATTCTGCACCATGACCAAAGGCCAAACACTTGTATCCCCAAGAATGGCTTGCAGTGGTCATTTGCCTTCAGCTGCGGGCGTTGGGCACCTCAAATGCCTGGATGTTTCTCAAAAGTCAATGAAGAACATTGCTTGCTTTGATGGCACAAAATCCTTCAGCACCTGGGATAGGGCAGGGCTGTAGAGTCTTGTGGCTCCATGGAGGAAAGAACTCCCTTCAACACGAGCGCCTCCAAGTACTCCCAGACTGGTGAAAACAGCGTAGAAGAGTACCATTACCAGTAACAGTGGATGATGATAGTTATATAGTAAAGGCCTTTCTCTAAGTATATCTCAAAGTATGCGTTTCTTTTTCTCCGAAGATGAGCCGAAAAGAGGGCCTCGTCGGGGTCTCTTTTCGCGTTTCTCCGTCGAATGTTGGAAGACTTTGGAAGTTGCTGGAATGTTAATTTTAGTAACTAAAGTTCTGGCAAAACCATCAGAGATAGCCTAAGTGACAGTGGTTTTCATCATTTTAGTTGTGTGGCTACTAAGAAAAATAGGGTGGTCACATTCATCTTGGGTGGTCACCATTGGTCACCCTTTCATCACCCCAAGACATCCCATCATAGACCTGGCGATGTCCTCGCCTGCTCTCAGCTGGCATCTGATTGGTGCGCGGGTGAGCTGGAGCGGAAATTCTTCATCGCTTGGCCGACGATGGCGCAACTCTTCCTGGAGGGAAGAGGGCGTAGCGAGAGCGCACCTTCGACCTGTGATAGTACCTTAGAACATGGATCCCTATGGCTGTCAATATGGACCCGGGAGGCTGGAGCCACATGATACAAAATGGTGGTGAGCCCCAAGTTGACATAAACTGAATCTACAGTCGTACATGTTTTTTTTCAACCTTGCCATTGCCGAGTTGCTACGAACGTTGCGTCGGGTCCAGGTATGTCCGATGTCGTGTGACCTTCCCTGACCTGAAGACCATCTTGAAGCTGCAGGTTCTTGAAAGGATCCCTCTGCTCATGTGAGCAGGGTTCTTGTTGGTGACTACGGGGCCTATAAACTGGAAGCATGCCGCATCTGCCTTTGCATGTCTTCGCGAGAGCAAATGGTGCCTTTGCGTCTAAACTTAATGTGGTGCCTTCGCGATATGCTTTCGCGAACCGTTTGGCTTTCCACACTTCCCTCTAGGGATAAGAACACAAGGATTCCAGAAGAGATGAACAGTGATACTATGTAATGCTCCTCTGCGAGGAAAGAATCAATTATAGAATAAATTTGCATACACAAGTTGCCTTCGGCCTACGCGATTTGGCCTCACATGCCTCCGCCCATGCACAAAACTGTGAGAATTGCCTTCGCGGGCTATGATGCAGTTCCACTTTTATATAGTAAAGCTCTTTGCGTGCGAATTACAGGAAAGAACACGTGGCTCATATTGAGGAAACTCCTCCAAACATGTGCTGTCGTTCAAAGGATGGTGCCACCAGGCCTCACTTCATGGATTGATTGACCCCCCCCATGGCCCGACCAAAGGGTATCACAAAGATCCAACAACTCAAACCTCATGCCGAACCAAGTCTAAAAAGAACGGGCACCACCCTCGGTAAGTGCGTGTGTTGTAGCGTTCAACAGGCCTTGGTGCTCAATGATGGGTTGAAAACCGAAAAACAACCAATGAATGTTCGCAGCGTATGTCAAACTCCCTCGAACCTGAATGCATGGCTAAAGCTCAACCCATGCGGACCCCCCAAGAAAATACTGATGGCATGTCAAACAGAGAGTTGGACCATCTTGGTAGACCAAACCCAAATGTTGCCCGCTGCCTGGCGTCCCTTTCGAGTTTTTAACACAGCACCCCGTCCGGATGGATGCTGCGCTGTGCTGCTGGACGTACTCTTCTGGAAAGATGTGTCCTGAACCCAGCCAAGCCCCAGAAAGACTGCGCCAGTGACCCCAGCTTGAACATCCTAGATGCGGATTCATAGAAGCCACACAAAAGCACGGCGGGGGCGTACATACGTTCTCTGAATCCATCGCGAGGCCCAGTGCAACTGCGAGGCCCAGTCCCACACTTTTCGACTCCTTCCGTCCGATCCGTTTCAAGGACTTTCAGTCATAACTGTTTAGTTTAGGGCATATAACTGGCATACAATTATGGCATCATATATGCCCATCGAAAGTTCATGAAGCAAAGGATCTTCACCTAACACCAATCTTGAGCCCTCCAGTCAGTGGTCACCAAACCCATCCGCGCACCCCGACCCACCTGGACGGGCGTCCCGCATGTGTCCGCTGAAACACCGAGCGGCGCAGGAATTCGTTATAGGCGATGCTGCCTGAGTGATCATCATCGAACCTCAGATTCGCCTCTTCATCGTTGGGCAAGCGTCAGCGGTCACTGTATTTAGGGAGCAACATACACTGACCAACAAAACAAACAGCAAATGAGTTGGCAAATCCAAGACCTATCCACCGAAAAAGTCAAAGAAAAGAATACCAAAAAACAAAACAGTACCAGCACACCCACGACTCACAGCTGCCCACGACTCTTCGAGCCAAAACCCGAAGATCTAAAGGATGCCAAGAACAATTCTGTTCGACGTTGTAAAACAAAGAGCCCATACCTTGAAGCACCAAAAAGGATCAAATCATTTTTGCGGATTCGCGGAACATCAGGCCGCCCACACGGAATCGGTCGGACGCATACCGTGAGCAGTGGGAACAAGAACGCTACGTTCGGGGCTCCTGGCATCGCTACTAGGAGTAAGGATGCCACTAGGAACAAGAAGCTAGTGGCAGGCACCGTTTCACATATTATCTACAAACCAACCAAACGCTCCATGGGACTGCCATATTTACTGATCAGTTGGGGTGGTTTGGGGGGTCAATGTAGGCATATATTCCTTATTCCACACATGGAGTGTCTGGGCCATGACCAAAAACTCATAATCATAACTATGAGAAAAATTGCTGTCTTGCATTATCATAGTATGGCAATGGTACACTGCATATGACAGTTGAGCAATAACAACAATTCAATTCCTGCTTCGGGATGTTTCAGGATGGTGTTCTGGGGGGCCACCAGAAAACCTTTTGAAACTTAACAATCATCACTGATCGCCAACCTTCTCCCATCATGAGTTAAAACTGCCATCATCCCTTAGTACAAGTTCCTTTATATAGACACAAACTATATCAAACCATATATAATTTACACATAGAGATGCTCCAAGTACTGCTCCAAGTCCAATAGTACTTGACCCTCTTCTATGTCCCCCCAGTCTCAACTCTCACTTTTTCAGTGACATCACTGAAAGAAGTGAAGTCGTCTTCACGCCTGTTTGCCAACCCTTTTTGTAGCACACCTGGTCTTCACATCACATCATACAGCATCATCGCAAAAAAAAGACAATGACTCATCCAAGGTACAGCTGAAAGACACTGATGGCGGTGTCTTTATCGATGCCGATCCGTAATTGCCGCATCAGCTCCAAGAACTCCTCGAACCCATCGCTCCCGCGTGAAGTGTTTTCAAAAAAGAAAGCGGAAGCGATTGGCCGCTTTTCGGTGCTGGAATTTGATGCTCTTTGTCTGTGTGTTAACTCTCTTTTAAGGTATGTGGGATGGCAGGACTGGGATGATGGCAGTCCCGCGTCAGCGATTGGAGCGACTGAATGGAAGAACTCTGGGTAGATGTTCACAGGACAAACTGGCAGATTTCAGTCCCAAGGGTACGTAATGAATTTGTATTGTCAAACATTTTTGGAGCGCCAAAAAGAGCCGCGTGTAGGTGCGACTTAAGAGATCGGATGGAGACCGCTCCGAAATGCTCAGCGTGCCATCGCTGTCGACGTCCACATAGCTGAAGAGGAGACTTAGCCCGGCAGAGGTGTAGCCCCATTTCCTCCGCAAGAGGCGGCAAACTCAGATGGGTGAACAAGGTACTGTCACCAAACGAATCCTCAAAGAAAGTATGCATGAGTCGGTGCTATCCTATTACCAGGGCCCAGTGGATGATGATCGTTAGGTTGCAGGCCTTTCTCTAAAATAGTGTGAATTGCCACAGAGTTGCATACCGACTCTTACGGGTAATGGGACAAACATGGACAAACCCAATTCATGAGATCCCAATCCAGTGTGCGATCCAATGGGTTACCTGAACATACCTGGACCACGAGTCGTGCACTACATCTCGGACACCCCGTACATGGTCTGGCAACCAGTCATGAGATAAGTTTGCCAAATTTGCACCCTCAGCTTGCACCCTTGTGGGTACACAATGATTGCATAATATTTGGTACCATGCCGTGTTAATCCGTGTTATCGTTGTCTTTGGGCAATTGGTTTATTTTAGTATATTTTAGTCAAGTAACCTTCTCCCTGCCACGACTGGGGAATTGAGGTGTCAAACGATATATAATTCCCATTGGAAATCAGCACGTCCCGCTGGATTCAGTGATCGGGGGTGGATGTTGCTCGTTCTCCTTGAGACTTTTCCAATGAAACATCTGGAATCCTTCGTGAAGATTGATGGTATATCTTGACAATGTCCTGACACCTCCCTGGCAAAACAACATGTGAAGTAAAAACAACACGACACCTTGCCGATTCAGCACAGTTCAAGCATAAGAAGTCCTCTACAATAGGTGTATACAATCCTCCCCACATTTCTGCCCCGCAAAAGTACCCTGATTCCTCCACATACCTGTTCATTGATTTTTCTTTCGACACATCCAAAAAGCACAACTCCGTTGCCATTGAGGAGCTCTAAGCACTTCCGGGTCCGCGTCATCACCAGCACCTCCCCGCGTCTTTTCCAGCTAGCCGTGAACTCATATCCTGAGGGGGCCCATGGATGCGGTGCACCAAATAGATCTGTTTGACATCTTTTCGACATATCTTGATGTGAGGATATGATTTCTCAGAAGAGTAGCAAAAGTAGCGAGAAGTGGTACAGTATGTGGGTGTACTCCTTGGATGATTGAGATGAGGACCAGCAAACACCAAACGGATCGGAATCAGGTCGAACGGTTGAACGCCTTGACCTTGGATTCGGCATCGTGGCACGTGGTATTTATAGACTTCAAAGTGACAAAGCTCTCTTGACATGTTGTTACTATTTTCATTTGTGCGCAGCATCATCAGCATCTTGAAAAAGTGTGTTTCCCTACCCTTTTCACTGATTGGCACAGAATGGTGATGTTGCTAAGCAAATTGGCAGCAAATGCTGCTGCTGCTGATGATGAGATGACGACGATGACGATGACCATGACGAGGATTATGATTGTTGTTGTTTGTAAGGGTGTTTGTCGCGTATCACACATAGTGACATAGTTGAGTGCATGCACCGCCTCCTTTAAGACACACACACACAGCCAAATCTTTGCGGCGAATCTGTGGGAGACGCATGCCACAATCTTGCCGCTTACCAATTACCGAAGACGGACTGACAAAACCAGCACGTCCCAAATGATCATTTGTCCTCCATAACCTCGATTTGGAGGGTGGCCGTTCAAGATTTGTCGAACACCCTTGAGAATCTGAGAATGTTACGACAAAGCTGCCCCGCAGCCACCCCCAGTCAAAGTGCAAGGCTCCGATGATACCCACTGGCAGCGCCAAGAACCAAACGCTCAACAAGGTGAGGGCAAAGACCACCACATAGCCTGCTGGATCTGTTGGAAAGGGTGATCTTTTCCAGGAGTTTCAAGGTGTCAAACCTCCAATGAAGGTCTTGGCTATGGTTGTTGGTCCACACTGCCGACTCCCCACCACAGGTCATCACAATTCAGCAGGGCCCACACTGGCATCGGAGACTGCCCATGCCGGCAATTCACCGGATGCTACATTCGGTGGGGGGGGACTTTAATGGCTTCACCCTACTCCAGCCACTCCATGTATGGCATGTTTGATATATGCCTACATTGGCCCTGAAACCACCCAATCTATTTAAATATGCCATACATGGAGTGTCTGGGTACTATCCTCCAGAAGTAGGGATCTCTGAAACAGCAAAGCACCTCATTTAGAAGTGCTCAACCAGCGACCTGATTGGGTGTTTGCTAAGTGCTCAACCAGCGACCTGTTTGGGTGTTTGCTTTGGTTTTGCGAGCAACTGCCACAGTTGGCCACTGAGTCAGCTACAGGCTATACCGTATATTGTCCCGTTCTTTTCTCATTTGTAAGGAGCCCAACATGAACAAGTCAAGAAGGAAAAACTCGCTCATCTACTATATATGTTTGTTCTGTAGGATCAAAGGGAAATAGCGCCCTCCAACACATTTCACTGGTTTTCCGGCTTTTTTCCCCCAGGCGAACCCCAGGTTTCTTCTCTCTCACCAGAGAAAAAAGCACCACACGAGGTTCCAGGAAGTTGCACCTAAGGCCAACAGCAGTCTGAGTGCTATAATTATATAACCACATGTCCCAAAGAGAGTCAAGGGCTCATCTCCCTCTTCTGCGTACATATAATTACATATATACATATACTGTACATGTGTGTAGACCGCAATAGCAAGCGGCTGAGTCAAATTGTTACCACTTACATCCGACTCGATGTTAGCAGGGGGCAGCAGGGAGTCCACTGACAGTTCTGCTGCCAACAAAGACAGCTGTGGATACTACCTGAAGCAGAACGGGACGCCAATCTGTGTACCTGCAAGTTCATACATGTGACGTTCTGTAATTACCTTCCCCTCTAATCGACCAGGCTGTTTAGGTGAACATGAGGTTTAAAGACTTGCACTCGACGGTGTTGCCCTGACATCTGAAATTACGAAGGCTGTGGACTTAGGAGGTTCAGGGTTTTGACATCACTTTGCGGTTCCTCCAAATAGCCCTTCCCAGTGTGTATGTGTGTGCATGTGTATATATATATATGTAGTATATCGTATGATATGGGTACAGTATATACAAAATCATGGACTGCAAGCATGGTCAACGAGCAAAACAAAGCACTAAGAGGTTGACTGGCAGCCAATGTCAACCGCTAGTTCGATTTACAGTCACAGGCAGCACCGCAGCATCCGCGGGCTATTTTTGAGCTGCTGCCAAAGCAGGGTTTGGCAGCACCAATCCGCAGGCACCATCAACTCCACAATCACCGATAGCGAAGCCAGCCAACGACAACTTCTTGGGAGAAGGCCCAGACTCGACTCTTCTTTTCTGTTACTACAAGTAGTTACTTAAATCCGCGAGCGTCATCTTCTTAAGCCTGCGAAATTCACCTTGTTCTGACATCAACCCTTCAACCCACCCTTCACTGAGCCTCCCAGAGTCTTCGGGACAAAATCTCCATAGCCCACCGTGGTCATGGTCACCACCTCACACGGAAGGAGTGGATGCGTCCAAATCGGCACGGAAGGGGTGTTAGATCTGTAGATGGATCCACTACCACCCTCTTTTTGATGGAGCAGGGAGACACTTTGATGTAACCGAAGTGAGGATCGAGTCATACCTTCCGAGAAGGAGTATGTGGATCCCATGGGGTTTATAATTATCGTCAGCAGTGTAGTCAGCAGTGGCGTAGTCCTTGGGTGAAGCCATTTTTCATGGTTCTAGTACATATACAAGAGAAACACCCCAATGACGCATTCTGAAAGTCTGGATGTTATATATGTTAGATTTCCTCTACAGGATGCACACTTGAATCATCGCACATTGCGATCGTACCAGAAACTGCCAAATTAGCAAGAACTCCCCTTGGCTCCCTGCATCAATATTGGGAGTTATGGATACCCTGGCTCCTTAGCTCCCTTTTAAGCTAGGGATAATTTGTTTTGCTCTCAACCGGCTCAGTACGGCTCGTTTTTTCGGGTCACGACCACTTGTAATGACCTAACATGGCCTCAACATACCTGCAAGAGGGCCCCAACTTGGACTACACGTCACCAATGATGAATCAGGAATGATGGGCCTCTTTTTTTTTGCACGCACAGCACCACACGACATGGGTGAGCTCCAGCTGCCATCCTGTCGCAGAACCATGCACTTCAACCAACTCATGACCAAGAGGTTGCATGTCACGCTGCGCCGGGTATTTAGCCCTCAGGCTGGCACTCTGCTTCTTTCCGACGCTTGGGTGAGATGAGGAAGAGTCTCAGGAGTCTTTTTCCAAAGTTTCTGCAATTTCACCGCAACCGCCGAACCTTCACGCTTACTCTTAGGATGAAGCACCATGTGGGCAATCCTAGACTTATCCTTTTGGTAGCGTGGCAGCATAGGTAAACCTTTCAGACAAACGGAACATGTCCACGAACGGGCATCCCAAGGAACATTGTGAGAAGGCGTGATCACTTCAACCTGTCGCAACTCACCTGCCGACCCTTATGGCGACTCTTTACGTGCCAGGCCCTCCGTTTTCCAAGCTTTGTAAAAGAGGAGTCAAATAGCTCCAGGCCACAGATTCCGCACGACCACGAGAATTCAGGGTGAACATTGTCCACATCAGCAATGCGAGCGACATCGTTGCCAGAAACCTTACTGAATTTCTGCCGAGAAGGCTCAGCACTGAAATCATCAGTCTTACAACTCGGAAGTTTCCTTTTGGCAAATTGTCCCCCAACCGAACCACAAGTATGCCCACCAAGTGATCGCCCAGGCGAAGCACTTTGAACACTTGTCACAGTACAACCACCCAACACTGAGGAAGCACTTTTCGTGCAGCCACCCGCCTTGGTACGCAAGGACAAGACAAGATCCTTGGGGACTTGCAACGTCTCATAGTGCCCAGGATCAGGCGAGCAATACAACCACAGGTCCGGAAAACGACCTTCCAAGTTGAACGTGTAAATCTGACCATGGGCATGAATCACAGAAATAGGCCGATCCAAGGCAGCCGCCAAAGCGGCGTTTCCAAGTTCCCAGCCCAAGGGTTGACCTCAGCAACTTTATCCAAATAAGATCGAAAACCAGCGATCTCGACTTCCTTGGTCTGGGTACCATCAGGCAGCTCCTTCATCGTGAGCCCACATATCCAACTTTTGCGTACAGCCAATCACCCCAAGTCTGAGGCACAATCCATCTTCACGCTCACTGCAGTACAAGAAAAAGCCTCTTCGCGCGCCCCAATTGGGTTTGTAATCTTTAGCGAGGTTGGACATGTGCTGAGCCACCTGCATGCGCAAAGAGTGGCACCGTAAAAGGCATATTTCCGGCTGAAGATCTTCCCAACGTCCACCTCGCAAGTGCCGCACCGATGTAACGGTTGTTCACGTGTTGTAACCACACGACCCTTCGGTGCCACAGTCCAAAGACCAGCCTCTGCGGCTGAACCTCCTGCTTGCCCTTCTTCCTCAAAATAGCAGCTTCACGTGACGCAAACACAACCCGTGTTTGAGCTTCCTGAGAAGTTTCCATGACCTCATCTTCGGCCACCTCGTCCTTGGCATCCATGTGAGTCTGAGGAACCACATCAGCAGCAACAACAGTATTTGGTATCACGCTTCGCGCGAACATGACCACCAGCACGCTCGAGGACCAACAAAGTCTTGCCGGCACTCACACCAGCCACACTCCCACTCGGGTTCTTTGGCTGCATGTTTGCAACCAAGGACGAATATTCTTCGAATAGGCAACAATGGAGATGCCAAACCAACCAGCATCCTCTAAGATCTCTAAAACAGAAATGAGATCACTCTCATCCCAGTTTTATCAAGAGCGCAAAAATGACTCTCCAAACTGCAACAGCACGCTCAGGAGCAACCTTCGAACGGATGCCCAAACAGTTACCACCACCAGGCTGCTAAGCAACAGGATGGCCCTTGCCTTGAGCACCAGCTAGAATTACACCATATTAAAACCGCCTTATGATACTCAATGGCATCACGCTGACCAACCGATTCCTCTTTTTCCTCTTTTGGCTCTTTCGTATGGCTACGAAACCGACTCCCACAAGTCATTCGTGCTGGAAAAAGACCACCATGCACGAAAGCTCGGGGTCCCGGTGTCATGTCCGCACCCCAAAGGTACCAAACCCACCCACACCCCGGCTGCGGCTACACCGGAGGTCACCCACACGAACGAATCAGCCCACACATGGCGATCGCACGAACGAAGCAGCCAAAGTAGCAAGAACTTCCCTGGGCGCAGTATCATTATTGGGAACATGGATGATATACCCTGGCTCCTTAGCTCCCTTCTGAGCACCCGCCAGCAAAAAACACATTTTCACTCTGAACCTCTGTAGGTGGCCGGGAAGTGGATGACCTTCCACTGACGGTTTCTTAAAAGGTTGCAACGCGGGGGGGGGGGGGCAAACTGCTGAAATATGAACAACATAAGCAGCGTTTGATGGCCAGTTGACGCTTCATTTGAACATCCTTTTGCGAAAAGCAATAAACCATTGAACATAAGCAAAACAAAAATCCAATGGAATCCCACCAAGGCCACAGGATATTGTGTTCCTTTCTCTGATCCAAACCCATCTGGAGTCGACCTGTACGTACCTTGGGAATGGGTACAATTATGGTACAGTTGTACCTCTTTTTGCACAAAAGGGTCATGTCCCAATTTCCAGACTACGCACGCAATCGGCTCAATGTGGCCGACTTCGCTCCCTAGCTTCGGTGTGGAAGTACCATAAACGTACTTAAAGAAGGTTGATGCCGATTCCCAAGTCTCGTACTGTGCCTGACCGCAAGAAAATCTTTGGGATGTCATCATATAAACTTGAGTGGGAGGGGGTGGACCAAAGTCATGGCGTGTGGGAGGATCCTGCCCTGTAGCTAAAGCTAATTGAAATCAGGTAGCTGAGGCTACCTTTCGTGATTTAAGAGAAAAAACACCTGGTGAAAACCGCTCAGGCTTGGCAGGTTCGTAGGCCGCAAAACCGAGCGGCTGCCAGCCAAATGGATTGACTCATGCTGGGGATATTGCTCCTCTCTTCCGCCTTGGTTGGCGCCGCTGACGGCTTCCAGCCAGTAAACTCTGTAAACGCCAAGGAGGTCAACTTGGGCATGTCTTCAGGTTGGAAAAGGGATGACACACGGTCGGTGCCTCTCCCCAGAATGTCCTTGAAGCTGGAGAAACCTGTGAGCGGGCCCGCCTGTTGGCGGCCTTCTCACGGCTTAAGGTAAGCGACTCTCATGCCCACCACGGGACACTCCGAACCTGCTCAGAAATTCTGCCATTCTGAGTCAGTTGGCTTCACTTCTGAATCAGTTGGCTTCACTGTAAGAAGGGATGGACCTTGATCTGTATAGATTTGATCACAAATCAAGGACGCGGGAGGGATTCTGCAGTTTTTCGCCAGAAAAGAAGAAAACCATGTCCGGCAAAGATGACAACTGAAGACTTTGTGAACAACAATGTTGTGTTGTTTTTGTGCGTGTTTTTATCTTTCTTGGTATCAGAGCGGAGGCCAAGAACATCTCCCTCTGCCTTCCCAAGGCTAAACCTCCTTTCCCATGAGAAAACAGTGGTCGTCCTCCAGCACGAAACACGACACCCTGTCACGGTTGAGATGAGGATTGTCGAGCTGTGTTCACTGCATGGTTTGATATGGTGCAGGAAACTCTTCACATCAACATCAAATGTTGAATTTCCTGGAGACGGAGAGAAAAAGTAAGTACATCTTGAACACGTGCTACCGCGCAACACAAAATAGAAAATAGTATATACATATATACGTATATATTTAATATTGCTGTATGATAAATCGATCTTTCTCCAACTGTATAACATCCAAATCCTGTCTCATCCAAGCTTCCCGTGCTTTCTTGGATGGGACCAAACTCCCACCCTCGGCACTGGAGAAAACATCCAAGTACCAAGTGGCCAAGTAGAGTCCAGTGGCCGAGAACAACACTAAAACGGCCATGAAGTAACCTGCGAAGTTCGCCGCTGGGCCATCCGTGCGTTGAGGCGATTGCCACATGTGGTCAAGCCAAGCACATGTACACAACATCCAAAGGTATTGGGACACGGACATCGACTGCCCGCCGCGATGGTGCCCTGACATGAAACATCATTTAACCCTAGGGCTCCAAGTACCTTCTTAGAAGGTGTTTGGGGAGGGTTTAGAGGGTCCAAATACCTTCTGAGGAGGTACTTGGAGCCCTAGGGTAAACAAAAAAAATTAAGGAACCGCCCTCAGAATCCGAACAGGCTTCGCATGGCACGGGGTCAGACATGGTAGGACCCTCATGGTCGGACCGGCCCGGATTCAGAAGGAACCGAAACCAACATAGGGCCTCCATCGCTAGTAGGTTGGAGGCCATTCCGATTAGGGAGGCCATTGCTAGCAGAAGGAATAAAAAGGGCAAACAAGGAACAAAACACATACCAGCAGTCACAAGACGGGGTGGTGTTTAGTCCCATCCAGTGAGTGGATGTCCTGGGCACCCCGACTTCCTCCATGGATAGCAGCCCTAACCTTGTGACTGCTGGTACCAACACGTACTATATAAACACCAACACATACATCCTTACTCTGGCAGTTCTCGCCGGTTCCGGCGGGGATTCACCGGACATGGAAAAACCCGTTTGCAGATCCACCAGGTCCCAGGGTCCCATTCGAACCGAAGTTTCAGGGTCCCAAGAACCAGGGTCCCCCAAAGACCGATTCTAAAGTGATGAGCTTAAGAACCAAATCTGTGGATTTCAGCCAGGGTTCCACTGGGGCACATCCTCGCGAGAATCTCCGGAAAAAAGGGAATGAGCTACAATGACAATGAAGTGAGTTTCTAGTTTCTAGTCCAAACGCTTAGGGCGGTAGGAAGATTCGGCTGATCTGACCTTAGACCTCAACCCGCCAGAACACCACCATCTTCACTGTATGGCAAGAACAAAATGTAGTCGCCTAGAATCTAGATGGGCTAATCGGCTAATCCGTTCTAAAGATAATCCTGCATTCTACAGCTTTTAGACATTCTGCAAACAACAACCAATGATAACCAATGTGTTTTCCCCCGTTCGCATCGCCGGCGATTTCAGATACTTGCCGAAAAACTCAACACGGGCAGCGCCGGAACTGAGTTCTGGAAGGCGACCATCAAGAGCCGAAAGACTTCCTGAGCCAACCACCCATGGTACCGGAATACCCAAACACTCCATGATTCCATGTATGGAATACATGGCTTCACCCAGACCACCCATGGGACTGGAATACCCAAACACTCCATGAAATGATTCATGTATGGAATACATGGCTTCACCCAAACCACCCATGGGACTGGAATACCCATCAAACACTCCATGATTCCATGTATGGAATACATGGCTTCACCCAGACCACCCATGGGACTGGAATACCCAAACACTCCATGATTCCATGTATGGAATACATAGCTTCACCCAGACCACCCATGGGACTGGAATACCCAAACACTCCATGATTCCATGTATGGAAAACATGGCTTCACCTAGACTATTGAACGGGACTGGAATACCCTCTAACACTCCAGGAAGCTGGAATATTCTATGGCTACATTGACTCCCCAAACCAACCAAATGCATGCAAACATGCATACAATATGGAGATATATGGAGTGTCTGGGATGGTTTCATACATATACCCATTACCCCATACACCTGACCCTAATCCGAAACGCTCTATGTAAGAAATATTTGCCTCCCATTGCAGCCACCCCAATGTAGGTACAATATGCCAGTCCCTTGGAGTGTCTGGGAATGTCAGTGCTTATTCTATACATGGTCTGTGCATCGTTCGACTTCACCAGAAAACCCCTTCCCACTATACCGCCGGGAAGAAGAATCCGATCCAGACCTATACCTGGACCTGGCTTCAAGTACTCTAGAAAATGGAACATGGCCTTATAAAGACTAATACCCCCCACAAAAAAAAAGAAGAAAAAACAACATATTGGTACCCATTTTAGAAGGTACATACTGAGACTCCAAATTGTCCAATTGTACAACAGTTCTGCCTCGTTCACTCCCCCCAAACAAGTACTAGCGACAAGGTGGACGTGTTGCAAAAACCGGTTTGTTCCCAGAGATTGGGATCGGGCTCGGTGAAAACCACGGAACGTGCGGACGTGAAAAGCAGCGGGAAGGTTCTGAATGAGAGCTTCTTCTCCGGCCGCCGAACGCTGAGGTCATTCTTGCAAACAATGGGCAAATGTGAAATGAAAACCAAACCGCCCCCCTGCTCATCTCTCTGGTCTTGCGCGTCCCAAATCCAAGAAATCGTGGAATTGCAAGGCTGGCGTGTGGTTTTTTCGGGGCCGAAAGGGCCGAAGCTCGCGACGGTGCGCAGAGACGGTGCGTTTGAGTCGTTTGCCCGAGGGTCGAAGTACCTCAGGAGCTTCATGAAGCGCACAAGCGGCAAGAACACACTCAGCATCACGTCCAACGCCTGGCGGAACCGACCTCCGTGACACCCCACGGGTTTTCCAGCCAGGTGGTCGGAGGTGTCGATGCGCGAAGAGAAACGGGGGGACAGTGTCACCTTAGCTCCTGACATCGATCGCCTGTCCTCTCTTGATAATGGGAACGGTTTAACCTTTATCTATAATAGGAATTTATTTAGTACCAGCACCCTCCAACAGGTCACCACCTGACGCTTTTAAGTATCCAAAAGCTACCAGAGGAGACCTGTTGGACGGTGCTGGTATATAAAATATATACATTAAATCTATAGTCTATGAACCAAGGGGCTATTACTCGGGCATCAAGCAGTATACCAAAACGAAGGTATTTCGACATGCCGCCCCAGCGGTTGCTTGCCCGTGTGCAGTCTTTACCCGTGTCACGTGTATGGTACACGTCTGGCATGAAGAAGAAACGAGCTCCGAATCCTTCCTATAGCACTTCCAATGGGTGCCCTGTCTGGAGACCTATAAGTCGGGTAGGGTAGTCCATGGTAGTCCATTGGACACCCAGACAGGATGATCCTGGTTGGAGCTTTGAATTTTTGGACGTTTGGAGGTCCCAGGTGCCCGGAGGGGGTTTGGCAGCTGCGCGGCGTTCCCGCGCGCGGCACTTCCCGATGCAGTGCTACACTGCCAATGTGTTTGCGGCATGCTTCACGATGACCGTCTACGACTTGCCAGTTGGTCCTGAATGAAGCCTTCTGTGTCATCTTGGAAATTCCATCCGAACTGCAAGGCGGTCGGGGACTACTTTGTCCAGTGTATATATACCGGGGACACATTCTTTCGCCTGGACTTCAGCTGCCAAAGTGATCACTCGGAATGGCAGGGCGCAGGCTGACCTGAGGGCGATGGCCGACCTGCAAAAGGTTTCTGAAGATGTCCGATGTGGACACATGGACCTCCTGCCTCCAGGTGCTACACCCGGGAAGATTAACATGGAAGACTTCTTCCACAAACCAGTGGTTGTCAGGTTCCACGGAAGACTTCTTCCTGCTCTCATGTTTTTCGGTTTGAGTCGAGTCTTGGGTGACAGGCCCCCAAGAACTCCAGGCTGGGAACAAACCAGAAAAGGGTCTCGCTACGTTCGCAGCGTCCGATCGCTCCGTTCGTAGCGATGCCCTTCGTTACTAGTAGTGTCCTTGCTCTTAGTAGTACGGCCAGAAGCCCCGTTCGTAGCGTCCTTGCTCCTAGAAAACCGCCCCCCCAAAAAGTCAAATCAATCTTCCTAGCACTTCCAATGGGTGCCCTGTCTGGAGACCTATAATCAAGTAGGGTAGGGTAGTCCTTGGACACCCATTGGATGAACCTTGTGGTTAAATTTGGGTGGAAATGATACTCTTGATACTTGTGGGGCACACAAGGGCACATGTGTTGCCCCCCATCAACTTGGCCAAACTTTCCCCGCAAAAAACCGTCTTTCCAAATACCTTCTTGGCAAATTTGGAAATTTGGGTACCCAGAACCACCCTGACTTACAACCTCTCTTCACAAAACTCAAGAAAACCTTTATTCGTTCCTGCTGCATGGCTCGATCTTGTTGGGTCACACCTTTGGTCGTTGGCCCTTTCAGTGAACACATGGCAAGTTCACCACCTGACCGCGCCCGCCGCTCCGGAGTCCCCAAGCTCCCCTCCCCCCGAACACCTCATGCAGAATCCCAACACCCCCCGAACGATGCAGACGATGCAGACCATAAGGTTTATCAAACCATCCAGACATGTACGTAGTATGTGCATGTTTTCATTCACGCTTGGAGTCCTCCATAAGTAAAAATAAGATAGACATACCCCCCGTAAATGGAGCGATCCTGAGAATTGACCCTGTGGGTTTGACGATGTTCCGCAGACCAACGCAAGTGGTCTTGTGGGTTCCATCTTAATCTACAGGGGAGGATGCGATTCTTTCAGGAGGACGCTACTAGGAGCAAAAAGCATCGCTACGAACGGAGCAAAGGACGCTACGTTCGGGGCTCCTGGCATCGCTACGAACGGAGCAAGAAGCTATATACCTGGAGGATGCGATTCTTTCAGACCTAATTAGGCCAATGGGAGATGTCTTCGTACGTCTCGTCTCGTCTCTGGCACCTGGTGTTCAGGTCCATCGTTTCGTTTCGGCCATGCGACAGCAAGTCTGCCCAGTTGAAGGGATCTTTGAGGAATGCTGCCTGTGGGGCCGTGTGGGCTTCCAGCTTGCTCAGCTGGTCTGACAGTCTGACCACTGAAATAGTTGCAGTTGTTAACTGACCTAAATGGACCTATCACAGACTCAAGTAAAAACCAGCAACTGCCCAACTAGATTTGCACTGAACTTGCTTAATCACTGAAGATATACCTATCATATTGTCCGAGAATAGAATTGGTTTAAGGGACAATCTACAGGAAACCGTGGTTTTCATCCCCATAACTGGGTTTGCACATTTTCCATTAGACCAACTCTAGGATATTCTCGTTGTACGTGAGCTGGACAGCATATGATTGATGCTTCACCTGCAGCCTGCTCAGCTCGAGTCCCTCGTAGCGCGGCCAAGTGCAACGCCGCAGTGGGCGCTTCAGATCGAAGAAGGGGCGCGCGTTTGCGCTTGATGTTCGTTTGCAAATGCAGCCACACCAAGAGTTACTTGGATTTGCTGATGAACCGGTCAACAAAACAACAGGTGAATCCATGGATTCTCAATAAAAAGAGGGAACGTCACAATCACCCTTGCTCAAAACCAGGATATCCGATGGCTGTACGTGTATCATTCCACTTTCAGAACAACCGGCGGGTATGTTTGGCGTCTGATAGTCGAAGTTCACTTCGAGGAAAGAACATGGTGCGTTCGTCTGGATTCCTCTGCTCGAGTCACCTGGATCGTCATGTTGACATGTTTGCTTTCCTCAATCGACCTCACTAGACACCTAGTTCCCAGTTCCCAGCTACCAAAAAACTCTGGCAGCTGTGGCATCCCAGGGGTTTTCCATCCCAGGCTGCGTCTTGTTCTCTCCTTCACTCCCGGGCCTTGGACGGCTAAGCCAACAGTCGAAGCATCCTCGGATGGGCGATTTCGCGAGACCAGTGCGGGCCGGTGTTTCCGAGACAACCGATGACTCTGCTGTGCGCAGCACCGGTTACCGGTGGTGACTCTGCGAGGTTTGGGACACACAACACTTTGCCACGCAGCACTTCACCGAAGAAGAAGGCATCAAAAATCACGTTGAGGATGATCATGGACAGTGCATCCAAACCTTGGAGCAAGTCTGCAAGTCTGCCAGCGCAGTCCAAACGGTTGCCTGTAACAAGGTTCCTAACATGCAGGTCTACTATGTTGTACCTAATCTCCATCCAGCAATATTCCAACAGGCCATCTTCCACATCCTTGACAGTCTCAGGAAGAGTGTGAAAGAGCTATAATATATATATATATATATCCCCTTCTAACTGTCCACACATTCATCATTTCTACTTACTACATTCTTACTACAGTATATCCGAAAACCTATTGACCAACCACTTCCACCAAACAGTCCAATCCCGGTCTTCTCGTCCTCTTCGTACTTCCTCATCGCTTCTGAAGCACCCGCTTCACCACCCGTCTTCCTCGCGCGCGCGTCCACCGCATGCGTCCGTTCCGAGATGAGCCACGTCCAGGGTCGATGAGCTCGGTGTAGTCCAAGGAGATGCTCAGCAGCACGAAGAGCTGAAACACCTCGTTTTGCGCAAAGCTGATGGCAGTTCCAGTTGAGGTTTTGCTGTGTACCAGGTCACCAAAAAGGACTCACCTGATGTGTCAGTGGGTACCGTTTTCTGGGATAGCCCATGGGGTTCCTTTAGGAACGGTCTTTTTCGGAAAGCAGCTGGACTCGTCCGACTTAGGGATCTCCCAAACAGGACACCCACACAGTCCAGCCGAACTCGTCCGTAGAACTCATCGTTTTCGAGGTAGTTACTAGCTCAACACCGCGAGAAACAGCGAGATGCAGCCGAACCCGTCTCACACAAAAAGACCATGACGACACAAACGGCATATGACTGGTTTCTTTCAGTTTCTGAGCGCACGAGCGCACAGGAAGGAGTGTTCGAAAGGAGGGAACCGGTGGGAACCATGGGACATGTAGATACGCAAAGCCAACCGATGGGGACGAATGAGGCACAGGGAAGGATGAAAAAGAAGCCCTATGCCAATGACGGTTGCATTGAGCTGTACCTTTGGGAGGTCAGGTGATAAGGTCACCGGTTGGACTAATGTGTCATAATGTGTCGTAATTAATCTAAACTTTTGATTAATAACGCCCCCATATGAAGAGGTGTTTCATGTTTTTTCATTCAAATGTGGGGTTTTACTCATCAGGAGTCAATGTTCCTAGGGATCTCTCGGGCATGTTCCCAAATGGAAAAGACCAACTGCTGAGAAAACATGGCCATGGCCTGGCACTATGCGAAGAAACGGGTGTCGAAGGATTCTCCTATCTTTTGCGTGTAGAGGTGAAAGTGGGTGTCGGAGCACGATCAAACACCTTCAAACGGTTTTGGGCATGGCCTTGGCCCGGCATCGTTCACCCAAACCTCCAAACGAAGGAGGTCACCAGGTCTGTGCGCATCCACATGCCTTCCCAAATGCCTACATCAAAGTGTCTCCAATCACCCTCTCAATCAGGTGAATGTGGAAAAAAAAACAGCTTAGGGTTTAGCGAGGCTTATAGGGATGTTTAGGGTATATCTAATGAACTGTGTTTTCCATATAGTAATACAAGTACCCGGACCATCCGACCATCTGGGTGTCGTGATCTGTCGTGTTCTTCCTCCTGGGTAGTCCGGATAGGGTAGGTCCAGCCAGGTGACCCAGGGATGGCGGGATGGGGTCCGGAGGGGATCGATGGGTCGATATGGATGTGTCGGACCTGGGTCATGGCATGAAACAAATTCCTCTATTTGAAGGGATGAATTTTTGCTTCCATTGGTTGGGTGGTTTTTGGGGTGCCATGACACCATG